AAACGAAAAATGGGATCGATTGAAGATCGTTTGTGAGCAGAAATTTAACCGATTAGATCCATTTGGTCTATGTTTTATTAAACTGTATTCACCATCGACATTGGCCGATGAAACGAATCAAACAGATTTATTAAATCGATCGTCTGCGATGATCAATGGAGATGTCGATGCGGATGACGACGAAACAAGTAAAGAACAGAGTAAAATCGGATCATTTTTTGCTAAAAAACAAGCGGAGAAGAAGTTGCAACTATCGGAGCCAACCGCTAGTGATCAAATACGAGCTTTATCTAATGTTGCTGATGAATTATTGAGTAAGAAGCCGATGGATGATAATGAAATTCAAAAATTATTAAAGAAAGATGTTAAAGTAAAAATTCAATCAATGTGAAGCTATTTAGGAAAGTGCATTATCATCTCTTTAGAGTACACCAAATCGACCATCAAAGCGTCCGATCACAGCTGATGATTTGCAATCGCCAGCTACTGAAAACGAAGCAAAACGAAGCAAAAGTAGATCATGTCGACTTTGTCGTCAGGAAGAACGAATATTTTGTTATACTTCTTCTAGCTGAAAATCAATCTGAATTGATGAAAAAAGTCGTTTTTGTTCTAAGCGGTTTCCAGAATCCACTGCGAACAGAATTACGAACAAAAGCAACCAAAATGGGCGCGACATACAATGACGACTGGGATGACACATGTACACATCTGATGTCAGTGCCATTCGATTAGGTTTCGCGTTAGAGAAGATTTTCATCTTGTTTTAGTTGTGCATTTCCGAACACACCAAAATTTACACAAGTTAAACAAAGTGAAAAAGGATTTGTCGTCAACAAGCAGTGGATACTCGATTGTTATAAGCAGAATCAGTTATTACCGGAGAGAAATTATGAATTGAACGGAACAAAGAAGGACAAACCAAATCAAACAGCAGGGAACAGGCCGAAGAAACCAATGTCCTTTGATGATAGCGATGACGAAAACAACGAAAAGTCAATGAAGTCCAAAGACGTAATCAAAAAGACATCCACACAGATTAAAGTTCAAACATTCGATGACGTCGACGATGATGAACTGATAGAAGCTACAAATACCAGAAAACCGACACAGACTAAAAAGAAAGCGCCTACTTTCGATGATAGTGACGATGATGAGGACGAACCGATAATTTCAAAAAATGTCACGAAAAAGGTTTCGACATTGGAAAATGAGGCTGACGAAAGTGGTAAGTAGATCTACGAGAATTCGACTTCTATGTATGTGTGAATTTAATCCTGTTTCAGTTTATGACGCTGAGACCGATGAAGATGAACCACAAGCGACAAAGCCCCCATCGGAATTAGCAGATTTCTTTCATGGAAAACACTTCTATGTCGACAAGAATGAATTTGATGACAATACTTATCGCGACATTCGTCGAGTTATCTATGCTTACGATGGTTTATTAGAAAAACAGATCACATCAGAAGTTAAATATATGATAACTAATCGATTGTGGAACGATCATTTCGACAAGGTAAGAATACTCACCTTTTTCCTCTTCATACGAATATCAATAAGTAGAAGTGTATTGAGGAATCTATATCGGGGATTTAGATGTACATGTTACAGTCATAATTATCTATTTAGATATCGAAAACAAATCCCGAGATGAAGTTTCTCTCACTTGATTGGTTGCAAGATTGTCATGATGAAAATAAATTTGTTCCGTGTCCACCATACTTAATATTACCAGATAACAAATAATACATAGTTTTATTTTTATTTTTCTTATTGTATATATATAGACATGAACAAAGAAAGGAGAAATTCTTTATTTCAATAAATGTTTTCTTCACCTTGGTGATATTATGAAATGCTTTCAGATTTTCTTGTCATGTCAACTGATACATCCAGTCCGATGATAACCGGTATGTTTCTTGCCATGCATGTATATATCAGATCAAAAACAGAACTCGTGTTCGATTTAGATAATGTTAATGAGCCAAACTCGACCTCAACTACAAATAAACCTACTCGACAAAACATACCGCAACTACCAAATGAGGTGGCACCATTTGCTGCATTTGTCAATGTAGTTGAACTTCAACAACGTGGACCATTATTTCAAGGGCCAGGTGCTAAACGCAATACTGGCCGGTATAGAAGTCGACCTGTTGATGAAGAGAATGTGAAACGTGCGAAAAAAGCTGCTCTGGAACAAAGTGCTAAACATGTTCTTGTTAGACAGCAACAGCAGCAGCAACGTGTGCTATTAGATCTCGATAAGAAGAAGCAAGCATTCTCATTAATGTGTCGGTAAATAACTTAACAGAGGAGAATGCATGAAATAGTCACGATTGAATCTAATTTCAGAATCTACGTTGGTAGTATCAATTTTGAATTGAATGAAGCGATGTTGAAAACAGCATTTTCACCATTTGGTCCAGTAAAAGCAGTTTCATTGTCATATGATACTGCAACGAATCGTCATAAAGGTTTTGCCTTTTTGGAATATGAAATACCAGAAGCAGCGCAGTTGTCTATTGATCAAATGAATGGAGTTGCCTTGAGCGGACGAAATATCAAGGTAGATGTACAAGATCACTTGGCTAGTTTGTCTTCTAAACTGTTGCATATTTGGATAGGTTGGCCGACCTTCGAGTATGCCTCAAGCACAACCGATCATTCAACAGTTGATGGACGAAGCAAAGCCTTATAATCGAATCTATGTTGCTTCGATTCATTCGGATCTAACCGAAACTGACATTCAAAGTGTATTTGAAGCATTCGGTAAATGAAGAAAGAAAAGTATATTTTTGAGATGAATTTTATATTTATGTATGTATATGCATAGGCAAAATTAAGAGTGCAGTTCTGGCCAAAGATACAGCAACGGGGAAACACAAGTAAGAGAAGTTTTTCTCATTGATTCTTATCACTTTTTCGATATTTCATTTTTCAGAGGATACGGTTTTATTGAATACGAAACCGCACAAGCGGCACAAGATGCAATCAGTGCGATGAATCTGTTTGATCTTGGTGGTATGCTCGCCATAACATAAAATCATCTTCGTTTATTTCGTCTCTAGGGCAATTCCTTCGAGTAGGAAAAGCAGTCACACCACCTGATGGCCTAACGGCAGGAGTTCAGCCCGTACCCACTCAACTACCGTCTGCTACTTGCTATGCAGTTGCGAAAATCACTGCTGAATTGCAAGCAAAAGAAATGGAAACCAACCCCCAACCCGCTGTCGTACGATGGTTTTCATTTGATATTGAGTAGGAATGCTATGTCGATATCTTTTAGGTAGCGTCACAGATTCACAATAATCCATTTGCACACAATAGTTTTCCAGGTCGGATGATGCCGCCCACAGTCGTCGCTGCTGTACCATCGATACCTGTATCGAACAATGTCACACCTACTGATATTTCTCAGCGATTAGCAGCCAGTCCATTAGGGGTTGCTTCAAAGTAAATGAACGATCGGAATTTGCTGTATTTATTATTACGGTTTATTCCTAGCTTTCCTTTAACGTCTATCAACACTATTCTTTCACAACCGTCAATTCCACCGCCTCAAAGTAGATCCTTATATTGTATTTTTTTTATTGCTGCATTTCATCATCTCGTTAAATTTCAGTTATCATACCACCTATACCATCATCTATTCCACAACCTACGATTCTAGAAGAACCACCTATTCCTGTTGGTTTACAAATTGATTCTCGAAACGAGCAACAATATCCATCGATATCCTTAGTTTTGCCAACGAAATCCGACAGTGTTGACAAAGAGCTGAAGAATACTGAAGATACTTCATCAACTCTCTCTCAACAAGAAGAGCTCAGCGTCAAAGGTAAAGTATGAAAGCGATTTTCTTAATTGAAATAAATCGTCTATTTTCAATCAAGGACGTGAACAACGACATTTATTGATGCAAAAATTGAATAAGCGTCGACTTGATTCGCGCGTATGTATTCTAAGAAATATGGCTACTCCAGATGAAATTGACGAGGAACTGCAACAGGAAATCACAGGTAAGAATTTTTATTTCTGATAGTTCGTATTCGAAATATATTTGCTTTGTTGCTGCTGCTGTTGTCATCGTCTAGAGGAGTGTTCAAAGTACGGTGAAGTCAGTAAAGTTGTTATTTATACTGAAAAACAAGACGAACAAGTTAATGCTGAAGAGATCGTGAAGATTTTCGTTGAATTTCGCAATAGTAAAGGTAAACGGATCTTCAGTCCACTTGATATTTAGCAGAATATATTTTTTCGAATCGAATCGAATTTTAGAAGCAGAAAAAACAGCGGACACACTCAATGGTCGATGGTTTAGTGGTCGAATGATAAAAGCGGAGTTGTACGATCAAACAGCGTATAATGCTGAAGATTTCTCTGGCTGATTGAGCTTGTGATTTCCTTTGTATCTTCATTCATATGTATATTCTCTCTTCTTTTGCATGTTGAAAAAAAAACAAAAGCTTAACAACAATAAAATACTAGACACATTCATCCAATTTTTGATAAGAAAACCTATGTTCGAACTCGATTGTGTAACTTTCTAGGTACTTAGTTCTGGACTACGTTCGATTTCAACCTAATTTACATCCCTCTCAGAATTGCCTATATTCACCTTTCTCTATGTTCAGCAAACCAATGTTCATCGGATTCAGGACAAAGAGATTGAGTACAAGAGGTTGTCGTGTTTTCTTTTGATTGGTAACTGATGTTTACAGAACATCTCGACCAGTTCTTTTATTGAGAGTGTGATTTTTTCAAAAGAAAAAAAAAGACGAAGGAGGAGAAAATATTTATATAAATGTTCGCAAGTTTATATTATATATAAATCTGTTTAAATATGAATATTGGCCACTTTTCTGTCCGTATCATCATCGCCGAAAACAGGCGTTGTTGCTCGTACTGATTGATATCCGTTAGTTTCATCTAATAATTTCAGAGATTTCTTCGTCGTTTGAACTTGTTCGTTATCTAGTTCTTGATCATCATCATGCTCATTAGCATTACTTTGCACATGGATCATGTTCGACGGCGGTCGACGGACACGAGCAGCTGATAAACGTGCTTCAATTTTCTCACGTTGTGATTGTTCGACACGTTGGCGACTATGAAAAAAAGAATTCCAAATTCATAGATCTCTAAGGATGAACACTACTTACGCTAGATCGGCTTCGTTCGCTTGTCCGATGATTTCATGTGCTTGCATTATATTGTTATTCTTAGTTTTCTTTTCATTCATTCGAGCACGTAAAATATCATTTTGTCGTTGTCGTTCATTTTCCAGTTTGATATCCATTCCATCGAGTTTACCCATCAACTCAGCTGTTTGCTAGAAGAATTCCAGAAGAGAGATTTCGACGCAAAGTTCCTTATGAGTTCACACATACTTTTTCCAGAACATCTTCTGTTATTTCGTGATTCTTCTTATTCTCCGCAGCACGTTTTCGCCGTTCACGTCCACGAATGTATTTGATCACTGCCGCTTTATCCGATGGATGCTGCGAATCATTTTTATCGGTTGTTAACAAGGCTTCGAAATACGCCTGATAAGTGAGATTCATGCCGGAATTTGGCCGAAGATCAGCTAGACCTTCCGTATCACGTTTTTGCTTCATAAATATTGATAATGGAATGGAATTTTCTAGACAGAAATTAATATGTCTAATCGATCTTATTCAAACAAAGCTTTGTCCTACCCTTTTGTCTTCCCATTGCGTTTTCTTTCATTTTCGAAATCTCTTGCAGTTGTTTTCGGTATTCTGCTTGTTCACGTTTGAATTCTTCGAGTGAATTACGTAGAATATCTCGACTTTCGTCCAGTGCACTCATGACACTCTCACTGTCCTCCTTTTTTATCGTGTCCACAGCGCGTAAAATGAGTTCCTAGAAAGTAATACTTCTTTACCAACGAATTCCTTCCGAATATGTCCATTTACCTGACTTTGAGGAGTTAAATTTGTCAGATCAGGCACTGATTGTTTTCTCGATCGACTTTCAGGGTTCCGTCTGCCGGCTACATTGAATGTTTGTCGAAGTTTCGATGTCAATGCTTCTTTCCTTGGCGAAAAATTGACTTCGAAATCGGATGAGGCAGTCAGAGAATTGGAATGCGACATGATGTGAAACTTTTGTTTTTGAAGTTAAACGAAGAGAAAAACAAATGTGTGAAAGATTTCCTTTCCAAGAAATAAGAAATAAAATGGCGATATCAGAAGTTACCGACGTAAGAAGAAAAAAACTCATTTCCATTCTCGAGAGAAAGTTCAATTTATTCAAGTACTGTCCTCTTTTCTTTGTAATTTAACTGAGTAAATATATATTTGAAGAGAGAAAAGTTTGCGTCGGAAAACAATGAAAGAAAAAAGGCTTTTTTTTATTCGATGTTAAATAAATAATTTGGGATGAACTGTTTTCCATGAAAGAACTCGGAGAGGCTTTCTTTAATTAAACACAAAAAAATGATGTCTCTTGGAATCAGACGTTGTGCAGGATGCGGACAAATACGATTTGAGATGTGTCTTGAAATATATAAGTCGGAAAAGAATGTTTTGAAATGAAAGTATAAGAACCAAGCAGACACCCACATGACAAATGCTGATGACGTCAATAAATATTGAGTGTAATTTGCTTGAAAATGAATGGATATATTTTTAGATAGTTCCGATGAAAAAACGTATTGTTTGCGCCATGTCCGGAGGCGTTGATAGTTCTGTATCAGCAGCACTATTGAAGAAAAAAGGTTTCGGTTTATTTCTATGTTGTGTTCATTGAAAAATGTTCATTTGATCTTTCAAGGTTACGAAGTGATCGGTTGTTTCATGCGTAATTGGGAAAAGCATGAAGATGATGATAGCGCAACGAAATGTACGAGTGACCAAGATCTTGAGGATGCAATGTTCGTCAGCAACCAACTCAATATCCGTTTACATGTTGTTGATTTCATCAAAGAATATTGGACGAAAGTATTCGAACCATTTCTCGACGATTACGAACGCGGTTTAACGCCGAACCCTGATATTCTTTGTAATAAATATGTGAAATTCGATTCTTTGATGAAATATTGCCGAGAACGTCTTGATACACCATATTTAGCGACGGGACACTACGCACAAATCGAACAAGATAACCAAGGAATTAAGTATTGAAGAAAATGAACAAACAAACGTAATCGGAAATGAATCTTTTTAGGATTTCAATTAATGCGCGGTGTGGATATGAAAAAGGATCAATCTTTCTTTTTATGTCATTTGAAAGATTCTCTATTACCGTTCATTCAGTTTCCTATCGGTGGAATGATGAAATCTGATGTGAAACGATTAGCAAATGAAATGAATTTGCAGAGAATATCTCAAAAGGCAGAAAGTAAGTGCGTTTTATCTGCCCGATTGAAATGGCGGAAGTGATATTGCTTAGGCATGGGTTTATGTTTCATTGGCAAACGCAAATTTTCTCGTTTTATTTCTCAATATATCCCTGATAAGGTCGGGACGATTAAATCTATCGAAACCAATGAAATTATCGGTGAACACGACGGTCTGCATCGGTATACCATTGGACAACGAATCACTCCGATAAATAAACAAGTTTCATCGCCGAAACCATGGTATATTGCAAAAAAAGATCCGAGAGAAAATGTGATCTATGTGGTAGAAAGCTTTCGATCGATTTCATCGTTATCATCAGTTTCATTTCAGGCGCCTGGCACAAATCATCCAGCATTATTCACCAAATCTTTCCAAACCGAGCTCCCGCATTGGATTCACAATATCCCATCCGTATTAAAACAAAACGGTGTCTATCAATGTGATTTTCGCTTTCAACATAAACATCGTCCATTACCTGTAATCGTTTCATTGGCAGACAATGGCACTTTACATGTATCTCTACCCATTCCAATTCGTTCGATATGTCCAGGCCAGGTACATTCTGATCACATTTCAACAAAAATCATACAGTCGCATCTTTTAGTATGCTGTGTTCTACGATGGAGCTGAAGTGCAAGGTGCTGCACGCATCGCTCATAGTGGTACATCGTTATACGAAATGAATTGGACAGAGCCATTGATCAATTCAGATTTGATTTTAAATATGTGTTAGATAAGTATAGTCGATGATAAAAACGATTCGAAACATTGACAGATTATGTTCCTTTTCTTCAAGGAGTATGTTTGTTCGAAGTATTAAATTTCTTCTTGGAAGATTTGACCAAGAAACATTCGTATTTATTCTCAATGATTATCATGAAGAGATTGTAGTTTTGTCATTGAATGGAGGAGAGACAGAGAACGACGTAGAATAAAACGAAATATATCTCCGATTGTCATCAAAAAGAAAACCTGAATGACCTCTTTTTCTCCGACTGAGAATAATTCTTAAGTAGCTTTTATACATATGATTGAATTACAATCGATTTGAAGCAGATATATAACATAAAACGGTCCTTGCAAGAATCAATCCAACGTGTATATAGATTATTAGTTTAAATCATGCTCGAATCATCGCGTTTCTTCATTAGTATCAGTTTGTTTCTAATTACTTTGACATTAATTTTTCATTTCGTGGCTATGGGATATCCTCGATGGAAGTGAGATGACAAATGAACGAAACAAGCGCGTACATTCATTTATATGTTTAGGGCCTCTGAACGACGTACTGGGAGCGAACGTACTATCACTGTCGGTATCTTCCAACGATGTGAAAATCAACCCATTTCTATTTCATCAGCGAAAAACAAATCCTATCCCATCTGTGATGACAATAAATACATTTTTCCTGGTAATAAGAACTGTCGCGAGTCACAACAATCCGGAGCGAACCTAGTCAATCATAGGTTATGCCATCAAGCAAATAACCCTTGTCAATGTGATTATTCGTCCATAGCAAAAGGATTAATTTCGTGTACAATCATCGCAGCTTGTACATTAAGTTTATCTTTTCTCTTGATTTTCTCCCATATTATAATCAATCCATACAAATACCAATTTCATCTTTATATAACCGTTGTCACTGTGTTTCTTCTACTTGTCGGCTTGATTTTCATTTTCGTCGCACTTATTTTACTCGGTTCATCGTTGAATTATGATTTATATCAATATCATTATGATTTAAGAAATCGTTTAGAAGAAGCAAGTATGTTTTCCTACTGATTTATCATGTTCAACAAGAATAAGCTTAAATTTAGATACACAACAACAAAAAGATGAGATTCGTGCAAATGTTACGACATATGCAGCGAAGGATTTTCATACTCGGCTTGATTGGGCAGCAGGTTTAGAAATCATCGCATTATTTTTTACCGGCTTTACGTTAATGATACGAGCCATTCATCTTGTACGTATTTACCGAAATCGGAACGTTTGAACACTAAAATTCCCACTAAAGACTTCTCCAGCAAGAATTAATAGAAAGAAAAGTTTATTTATTCGTTTGATAAAAAGAAAGATATGTCATGTTTTGTTCATTGATTTCCATCATAAAATATGAAGAAGTTCATTTCAATATATATATATCCTAACATCCTTGAAGACGTTGTAATGTTTGAGCATCGTGTTTCCAAACACCACCGTAGACTTTCGGTTGTTGATTATCAAGACGTGAAAGACTAATTTGAACTTTCACATCTTCGACATTGTAATCTCCGACTTTTGCTCCTGGTTTGTCATCGCGACTCTTCTTGTTACTTGTATCAGCATGAATGAACGGTGTTGCTCGAGGTTTACTCGATTTATGGCGATGCCCCTTTGGCTGTGGAGATTGAATAATTACATTGAACACGGGTGCATCTGAATATTCATGAAAAGATTTTGAATTTTCATGAAAAAGAAGTCGAGCATTACCTTCATTTTGTCCAGATGTATTTTGTTGATTTGCTTTACGTGATGCTGTTTGTTTAGCGAGTAGACGAATGGCATTTTCTAGTCGTGATTGTTTCGTTTGTAATTCATCGAATTTCTTCTTTGCTTCTTCTTCTTGTCGCGACAGCTTCGTTTGTAATTCGCGTATCTTACGTGATTTACCATCTTCATTGTGAATTTCGTCGAGATAACTTATCGTTGGGTTATTCACATCGTCATTGAATTGAATCGATTCAACATTCGGATTTTGCCGATAACTTGTCAATGGTCGTTCACGTGGTGAATCATAACTTTGCGACTTTTTCGTTAACGAGGTAGACCGAGCTCGATGGCGATCGTCGGATAGACGTATCGTATCGACCTGTTCTTCATTATCACTTGGATAAAGATTTTCAATGTTCGATTGATTTGCCTTATCTCCCGAATAGATATAGGATCTCGTCACACCGCCGATTTCCCATGTGTCATTCAAACCGAAGTCAGGTTGTTGTTGTTGTTGTTGTTGTTGTTCGTCGACGGATGGCAAAACAGGCGCAGAACGATTAAGAGCGTCGTTAACATATTTTTGCGAAGCATATTTGTCTTCGTTCTTTTGTCTAATTCGAGAAGAAAAGAGTTTTTGGAGGTGAAATGAATGCGTTCTCACGCTTTTCTACCTTTCAACAAAATTTGATAGAGAATCAAAATCAACGACTGAATCTTGAATATCGCCCGAGGTTGATGTACGCTCGGATTCTTTCAAACCGCGTAGAGCGGCATTAATCATCGAACGAGCTTGTTCCTTTTCTAATCAATTTAAAATACATAGTCATATCGATATGGAAAATGATCCGCACATACCTGCTGGCGATGCTGAAACAAGCCAAGATTGAACATCTTCCAAATTACATGTATCAAGAAGTTGACAGAGAACTTGTAACATCTATTTCATTGAAAAAAGAAAGATCATTAATAGATTCATCAGTCTTGCAACGACGAGTGTTCCTTCTTTCGTTTGCGCTTTCACTTACCCACGCTTCTCTTTCATCTTCAGGCACGTTAAACAAAGTTTCTCCTGTTTGACCAGCACCATGTTTCGTACTTGTGCGACCACGCGATTTTGAAGCACCTTCATTGAAACGTCCGGTTTTAGTAGAATAGTGAGCACCAGAACGTGAGGCATTCTTTGGATCAGCTGTTACCGCAGATTTATTCGAATGCTTCTTGTCCTCGTTTTCTGATCCAATACCACTAGCAGCGGCTAGATTTGCTAATTCCTGTCTCCATTTATCAGTATCATGTACTTAAGAGAAATAGATATTCTTATATATAAAACAAACACGGCACTTACTGAGTCCATGTGTATTCCAAAAAGTCGTTGGAGGAACTAATCGTTCAGTCCGACGTCCTGTTTCGTTTATTGGTAGATTGTTTTTATTATAATCATTCGCTTTGTTACGTTTAGAACGCTTATCGCGGTCTAGATCATCATTTACGTTACAAATCCAAGCACCATTCAATCCTGAAAAGATTTGAGAAAGTTCTTATAATTGAAATCAATCTTCTTTACCTTCCATATGACGTACACGTTGTGGATGAGGACTATTCCGAACAAAGAACATACTGGATGATAAACCACCGAACCGTTTACCGGAGCGGACAGAAGTTCGATCGAATAATTTCATAATTTGTCAACTAATACAAGTACAAATAACTTCGATTTCTATTCTTGACATTTGATTCTATATAAACTTTACCTAAATACTTGCTGATAGTGCGAAAAGAAACTAGTGTTTTGTTCTATTTAAGACGAACGAAATCAAATGAGTATTTTTTTATTCTATATGATCCTCTAATGCTCGTTTGTTTCATAGACTTGAGTATTTCGTTTCGATCACAACGTCTAAGTATGTGACAGCAAAACAAATAAGAAAAGGTGAAACAATTGCAAAAGTATACCCATCTACACAAGAAATCACTCTGTCTTTTCGTTCGTTCTTTTTCTCGTCGATCGTTTAACTACTCGTATTATTTTCAACAAAAAACTGATTTGCACGGCCTTGAATAAAGAAGTTATTTTCATGTATAAATACATATCTCCTAGTCTACGAGAGAAAACAGCTAGAAACGGTCTATTCGAATAAAAAAAAACGCTGATCGATATTCAACGAAGAAAAATAACATCCACAGTCAGTTTCTCTCCTATGATTTCCAGTTCAATGATAGGAGAAAACATGTTTCGTTTGAAAAAACATTCCAAGACCGTTTGTTGTTACTTGTGAAACACTTAGATGTTTCCTTAGCTACCAACATAATCTTCTATTTTTCTATGTATACATACAATTGTTTTCTCTTCAAAAACGATCAAGACAACAAAAGCAAACAGTAAACCACTTGGCTAAAGTTATTTGCAAACAATGTTTTAACCAATGTACTCCGATACATATAGTATGCGATTAAAGAATCACATTGTTGTTCTTCAGTGAACTAACAAATAACCAAGGAAAAACATCCATCGAGATTGACTGAAACAAAATCAACTTAATGTATTGTCGAATGTGAATTTTTGAAAAGTTTGTCCGTCATTACATAATCGATATTTCATATGTGCACTGAATCTGTATAAGGCTGGTTTTTAGTTCTCATTTTGCATTTCCGGCTTGTTAGAAGTGAATTACTGGACAAAATATGGTCCTTATTGATTCTGATTGAAAAAGATAACAGTAGAGAAATGATGAGTATTCATACAAAAATAATAATAAAGTAAAGATATCCGGTTTTATTGATCATTTTTTTAATATCAAATCGACTTAGAATAGAAAGAAAGGGAAAAAGAAATGAGTCCGGCATCATTTTCATACACTTCTAATCCGTTTTGTTCTTGATCGGTTTCCTCATTGCCATTAATAGAAGAAGAAAAACCATGCTAACCAATTTGATCTGCAAGTTATTCTTCATCCTCATTCGTACGCAATTCTTGTTTTCACATGCCAGCACGAATGAAGATGGACTTCGACGTTTATTGTTCGATCAACGACCATATGATCAAAATGTTTGTCCTGAGAAAGGCATTACGAAAGTGTATACGAATTTAATTGTATTACAAATCGAAAGTATCGATGAGAAAGCACAAGTTTGTTGATTTGTGCACTAGTTTGTTGTATAACCCATCAATTTCAGGTCGTGACAAGTAATGTTCAATTAGTATGTTCATGGTGTGACCCATACATGTCATGGAATATAAGTCGATACAATATAACTGCACTTTCAGTCAGTCCGGATTATTTATGGACACCGAACGTGGTTTTAGTCAATTCAGCCGATGAGAAATTCTCTCATAATCGTGAACATTATGCATTAATTCTTCGGCATGACGGTAAATTTGTTTGTTGAGGATGTTCACCAGATGATATATGTACGTTTTCTATCTTTTTGAAAAGGCTACGTTCGATTCATGTTCCAAGATCTTTGGAAGACTATATGTAAAGTTCGTCTAACGTACTTTCCGTTTGATCAACAGCACTGTACAATAATTATTCGCAGCGGTGGACATGACAGTCATTCAATAAAGTTCATTCAACGACGGCCGATCGAACGCCACTCATTTATTCGTGGCGAGTGGGAATTAATACATTCCTACATGAAAATCACCGAAGAATGCGTTTCTGATTCCAACCAAGCGAATTACAGTGTTGTGCACTTCGCATTGATCTTGAGACGCACACAGTTATACTACGTAGTCAAAATTATCCTTCCCTTTGCTCTTGTTTCATTCGTAACATTATTCACGTTCTTATTACCGCCAGAAACAGGTGAAAAATTAACACTGAATGTAACGATACTTCTCTCATTAGTTATTTATTTGCAATTGATTAGCGAATATATACCGAAAGCTGACGATGAAACACCAATTTTAACATTATTTTGCAATGCGAATTTTGGTCTCGTTTTTATATCGTGCATCATGACGGTTTATGTTCTATATCTTCATCATCGTCCATCGATTGCATACGTGGCTGGTGTACCATTCTATATGAAATTGATCTTGCTTGATTATTTAAGTCCCATTGTTTTCGGGAAACAAAATCTAAGTGGCAAATCACAGAAAGTAATACGTAAATCGGCGGATATCAAAGTGCTGCGACGTTTGAGTAATATCGAGAAAAGTATCCGTTCGATATTTTCGATGAGATCGTCAGCTCAACTAGCAAATCATCAGGTAGCTCTCTTCTCTACTTTGAATGTCGTTTCATTCTGTGATTTAGTCCGTTGAATTATTCCGTTGTTTACAACAGATGAAAATGCACCTACGTAAACAACATGCGTCTTCATTTCGGTTGAAATACGATCATGATATCAAGAATAATTTGCTAAAAATCGAAAATAAACAGCGATTAGATGAATGGCAACAAGTAGCAATCGTACTGGATCGTCTTTTCTTTCTCTTCTTTGTTTTAGCCATGCCATGCACCGCTCTCTTCTTTCTCTCGGCACATTTTTCTGGTGTCAATACGTTTCGGTCGAATTCAAGCAAAATTAAAATCGATTCCGCCGATGCCAAATGCTATTTGTATTACCGACCAATGTTAACATGATGCGATTGTTGATCGAACAATTTTCAATTTCCATCGCTTTTCTCGCCGAGCTTTTCTCTTATTAATCTTGTGTATCTCGTAAATTGATTTTTGTTTTTCAGCTTACGTTATCGACAATGTTTCTCTTTGGTCTTCCTCAGATGAAGGAAACATTTATCATATGTCATTAGAAAGAAGAATCAGATATAATAAACAGAACTTGATGAAATCTGTTTCGACATCAAAACCTATTGACATCTTACTTTTATGTAAAACTTCCGAAAGAGAAAGTGAGCCAACGCATGATTTATCGGTCGACAGCACAACATGGATTCAGAGATCCACATTTTCACAGCTGGTCTTCTTAGTTGCTGATATATTTTCGTTATTAATTGTTTTGATCTATTACCAATCAAGTAATTAATTTTCTTCTCGGAGTAGTTTCATGCTGAGCAAAGACTCATCCACTTTTGTCTCTCTCTTGGAGCTCATTAATAATGCTAGTTGTCACATATGAAAAACTCATCGGAGATGCATTTATTAAATATTACATATTGATGACTAAAGTTGACTTTTAACGCATCGAGATGTCCGACGAAAAATCGGAATGATAGCAAAAACAAATCGAGCAAGAAAAAGAAGGAAAATTATCGGCATTACTCTCTTTCTCTGTTACTTTTCTTTTTTTTTATATTCTCTAACATTTCTCGTTCGATTAGCGCTCGAAAGCCACAATCTGGATACGATTGCTAGAGAGTATATTAAGGTCATCGCTTTTCACATCATCGACATCTCTTCTACTTTAAGCAACAATCAACAAGAACAACTTTCTCCTCACCAGATGTGTCACAGACTATCTTCTTCGACAGCATGAGTGTCTTCATATGTTTAGAACAGAGAAAATTAGTCAATTGTCTTCTAAATAGTCTCTTTCTTTCGATAATTATTTCCAAGCATTGATCTTCTAATCACAGCGATATATGTATATGTATATAGTTACTTAGAAATGAAATTAATCGACGTCAGATTTCGACGATGAGATTGTCGGTTATTCTTTCTCGTTGGCTAGCAATCCGAAAAAGAAAAGGATCGAATAATTGGTCTTCTTGATAGAAAAACAACAACATATCAATCAAATAAACAAAGAAATATTGCTTTCTTTCGTCTTTGATGTACTAGCTTAGACAATAAAAGTCAATCGAGGACTCTATCAAGTAAGTCAATCTTTACAAATCTAATCAGTTTCCATTTGACGAAGAGGGAAGAGAATTTTACACCCATGCGATAGTTTATAGCCTTTCTCTTCGAGTGTGTAAACATATTAGTTTGAAAAAAATGACAAATTAACTGTTGAGTTGACTATACAAACGAATGATAAACAGCCCGAAACAGACAAATGAGGACTCCAGATACGTGATGTATGTCGATGAAGAAAGAACACATATCTTGCGTCGAGATGTACATACATATGTAGACAAATAAATTAGACAAAGAGTAAGTAAAGGAGTTATTGAATGACTCGTTGACAGTTAATAGAACGATGAAATAACATTTGATTTTAGGCAAATGAAATGTCAGAAAATAGATAACAAAACTATTCCGGTTTTCTTTTGTAGATTTTTTCTGACCATGAATGAAAATAACATATCGGTTGTATTTTTTTTTAACGGTAAAGATAATATGAATAATTCCATCGTTCCAGTGCTAAATGATAGTTTAATTCGCATTGAAATCACCGAATTCATACAGAAAGTGAACTTTTGGATTATCATCATGGAGATCCTGATGGTTATATGCGGCATTGTCGGCAATGGTCTTGCACTCATCGTTATCAATCGTCGTTCATTACGTGATACATCATCGAGTGTATTCATAACTTATTTAGCGATTTTCGACATATCCGTTCTTGTTGTTCATGTGTCGAGTTTAGCAACATCACATTGGATTTATTCGTACATTTCGCATTGTCTTCTCACTTACCTAGCTGATCTCGTTACCTTTTGTAGTGTATGGATTATTGTCATTATGACATTAGAACGGTGTGTTGCTGTACGTTCGCCATTTCTTGCGAAGCGATTTTGTACGACTGAAAATGCTCGTTCGTCGATTTACACTCTCATATTCGTTGCTCTAATGTTATTCTCAATAACATTCCCGTTTGTCTATACGATCGATAAAGTTCAACAAAAATGTGGTGTGCGAGCACAATATCAAAAAATCATACGGTTTATCAAGCCAACAATATTCTACTTCGTGCCGGATTTACTTTTACTAGCAAATGTGTTTGTCATTTATGAACTATGTATGGCAAAACGGCAGCGACAACGAACATTGATGAATCCGGAAACTGCTATTAATCAATTGAATGCAGTTTCGTTCAATCGGAAGCAGCAACAATTGACAATCATGCTTGTGACAGTTTCATTGAGTTTTTATCTATTCACAACACCTGCTATTATTGATTATATCCGTCAGATAAATCCGCCTAAACATCATGATATCAAACGGTTGAAATTACGTTTTCTAATGACGAATCTTTCAGTTCTTTGGTTGCAAATGAGTTCAGCAGTAAGTGTCATACTTCACGTGCAAGAGAAAATCAAGATGACTCTTGTATATTTAGACAAACTTTTTCTTCTACTGTTTGGCGGGTTCGAAATTTCGTGCCGCCAGTGTGGAAACATTAAGTGACGTATGTGATTTTATTCAAAGGAAATTCAGTAACGAGCAAGACTACGTACCACGTCGACGGAGACGACAAACTCGTAGTGACGTTCGTTTAAGTTCAATACACGGTCAAGAGCTGAATGGTATCCATAACTGTGAAAACAACCGTCGATCAGGTTCAATCCCACGAACGTGTATATATCCATTAAACAATTCATCTAAACGACATAGTAGTGAAACAGTCATTAGTTCACAATTGAACAGTAGACAACCATCGAAAGGTGCTTTGTACGCACCTGAAGTTTAACATTTATTTTGCGAATAAACACTAATTCATTTTTGTCTCATCGTTAACTGATATGAGTCTCGTGATACACACGACGCTATTCGTTATTATAGACAGCAACCATTGGATGGCATCGGAAACAAAATGAGACAAGCAATGAATTGAGAGAACTCTAATTTCCTGATTAATCTTTGATCTGTCGCTTTACATGCATGGATGATTCAGAATATTTGATATCGTTTTTGAAAGCAATCTGATTGAGAACAAGATGAATCTTTAAAACTGGTCTTTTCCACTATTATCTCCTCATAAATAACAATAAAGAAAAAGAAAGAGATCGACGGCAAGTCTAAAAACAAACAACAAAAGAAGGTTTCTTTGTTTGCAACAAATATCAATAACCATCCAGACGTAAGTCACAAACAAACACACACGCACACACTTAAACAATCACCGTTGACATAACAAGTTGAAAAATAAAAAAAAAAGAAGAAGAAGAAGAGTAACGCGCGTCGAATAAACAAAACTATTTGATTTGTTTTCAATGTTTAGTTATCTATTGGGCTTTTTTTGTTGCCTTATCTTTCGATGCTAATAATTCATATTTGCGTTTGCTGTTAAACCAAAGAAAGAATGGAAAGACGATGCATGGACTGGCCATAGCAGTAAAGAGTATCCAGTCGATCTAACGATTCAATTGAAGATAAATTTTTCGGATAAGAACAAGACAAAACACTTACAACATGGGATGAGAATCGTCGATCGTATTCGCGACCTGTCATGATGTAAACATCGCCGATTTCAGATGAATAAGTTCTCTACACAGATAACAAGCTTATAAACATCCTATATTAGCTAGAATTGAATTACTTGGACTTCAGCGTTCTTTTCACTCTTTTGGTATGTAACGATGGCATGTGAACTGTTACTGATTCCACTTTCTTTTGGTTTCAAGACAACAACGTGAGTTAGATTAGCTCCTCTAGAGAAGAATGATGATTAGCAAATGATCGATACTTTCCTGAATCGAACTTACGCATTGATTCGTTCCCATTTCGGATTGAGTGTACCGACGAGTAATTCGTAATATTTGCTTGGATAACTATGAACATCATTCAAATTAACATTGAAAACAGTTCTAAACAGAAGCAATGTCTTTCATGGAAACGAAAATTATGCTCTTCATACGTTGGGCCAGAATTGTATAAACCATATTTGATGGTTAATTCTTTGCCTTGTACAATGAATCGATTGACTGTTTGTTTTGTAACGAATAAAAATGATTCTTCATCATCTGTTTGACTGTATACAACAGAGATGAAAGCAAGTAAAATCAAAGTTGTCTTCAAAAACATCTTTATCGATCTTCCAGAAATCAAAAACGAATAGTAGGAGCAAGTAAAATAATCGTTTTTCTTCGCATTCGTAGTATGCCTACCACCACGTAAACCAAATCCCACTAACCAATCGGAATTCTTCAGAAAAACAAAATCCAGAAACTCTTCAAATTTCTGCACAAAACGCAGAAAAATCCTCGATAAACTTTTTTTGACGTTCAACACCAAATCTCCCGGAAATATAGATGTCGCTATACACACAATCTACTTCATTGTACATTAAAATTTTTCACTGGCATCGCCACAGTCGCTCTTTTCCCACTCGTCGACACTACCGCTTATATAGAGAATTCGTTATATTAAAGTGTAATCTATTTCATACTCAGATCGGGTACATGTATGTTGCTACAATTAGTAATTATCGAAGCTAGCCAGTAGATATCCATATGGCAAGTGTTGAAAAGAAATCGTCCAATTCTCGCAAGGATCTCATATGTACGGTTTGTGGTGCACCAGCAACTGGTTTCAACTTTGCTGTGATAACGTGCATGTGTTGTAAAGCTTTTTTCCGTCGTAATGCTTTGTTTGGTTTGTCTTCATTGCAATGTCGATATTTGTCTGAAAAATGTTCAATTAACATTAAAACCCGTCGTGATTGCTCTTATTGTCGTTTAAAAAAGTGCTTTGATGTTGGCATGAAGAAGGAATTGATCCTAACCGATGAAACGAAACGGATTAAACGTGAAAAAATCTTAGCCAATCGTCAAATGACATTAAACTTATTTCGTCCAGTGGATACTTTTGATATCAAACGTAATAGCCCCGTGAAACCTGATCATTCCACAAATATTGCCAATATTTATAATGCATTTGAAGATTACTGCTTTCTGCCATTAGTGAAGTTCGACAGATATGAATTTGAACTCGTTTCTCAACAGCCAGTGAAGTCTCGTATCAAACTTCAACATTACTATCAATATTATATGACACATGAAACATCTTTAACTAATTTCTTCAAACGTGTGCCAGAATTTCGAACTTTTTCCGAAGATCAACAGATGGTGTTATGTAAACACAATATGAAGTTTTTAGTACGAATAAGTCTAATAGAAACACGAGACCCAGATTTGCCACTTTGGCCGGCAATAAATCTGCTTATCGAAACCATTTTCGGCAGAAGTTTACTTGAGGAAACGGATAATCTCTTACGAAATTTCAAAGGGGAAATTCACGATTCGAGATGCATCCGATTATTACTCGTAATATTCCTTTTCTCAACGCATTCTTCATACAATGGCTTTTTAGACACATTAACTATATACAACATTCAAACGAAGTATACAGAATTATTATGGACATATTTTAGTGAAATTTACGATTATTCCGTCGTTTGTGAAAAATTCTCAACAATTATTCGTCATTGTCTACATTTACAACGTATTGGTTGTGACGCAGAAGCGAAACGTGAAGAACTGCAACGAACACGTCTATGTATTGCACCCGAATGATGAACTAAATCCAAGTGAAAGCTATTTTGAATAAAAATTATTTTTCCTCTGCATAGAATATATATGTATTAACATTGTAAAAAAAGGACGAAAGGAAATATATATATATATTTACAAATGATGAATTTTATTTTTCAGATATCAATGACCAATATCGATCGCTTGCTTTTATGTGTATCCAATTGTTTGATATTTCTCGCATGTTTGTATGATTTATTTCTTGTCAAATATCAATCCAATCTCCATGTCATATCTCGTTCAGTCTTAGTACTAATTATCGTTTTATATATTGTTTTCTTTTTCTTAACTCGTGTATTACCGAATTTATTAACGAATGCGTTTATCTTTTTAACTTCATTGTTATTATCTTTATGTCTTTCGTTATCCATATTTACATTTCAAACCAGTCCTACATTATCGTTAACGACGAAGTTTATTTTCTATGATTTACTTTTGATTTTATCCACTATCTGTTCTGTTCTATCAAATTTAGTTCGTTTATTCAATAATACAACATTTTATTTCCTTCATTATAATGAATTAGCTGAATTGCTCGGGTTTTCTTTGGGTTTATATCTGACATCGCAGTCAACGTCATTGAATTATTTACTCTTATCATTTTTTCTTCTGATTATTACCCTACGGTTGCGTGCGTTTCATTCATTTATTTTATTAACATTGAACTTAATCTATTTTTCGAATTATTACACACCGTATTCTCACATTGCTTGTCTATGTTTTCTTTCTCGGATGGTCAGTCGGCCGATAATCGAAATCTACTTCATTGCATTAACTTCACTCGAACGTTGGATTTTGTTATTACATTTATCAAGTTCATACCGACGAACTTTTCAACGATTAATGATTTGTATTTATTATCTAGTACCGTTTCGTTGTATCTACGTTATCGGTCAGACTGTGCGTCTCCATGATGAATGGTTTGTCATCGTTCCGTTGTTTTTTCTGAGTGTCATCGTCTGGATTCTATTCCGTTCGTTGACGTTTAGTTTATTATGGATGTTATCGAAGAAACTAATTGATTGTTATTTAACAATGATGCAAACGAATGTGGATCATGAAAAGCATAAAATTTCGTTTATCAAACTATTGGCATCGAGAGGTAACCGAATGAAAAATGATAAACAAATAGTAATTCTCCTTGTTTGATTTGAATAACTAATAGGTATTCGATACTTTGGCCTAATAACTTGGCCAATTCTGGTTTGCTCAACATTATTAACGTGTTTTATTAGTTTGTTACATTATGATACGTGCACAAAAGATTCGGTTGTTCTATTTCTTTTAACTATTCATTATGAATGTTTAATTTTGGCACTTGTGAAGCAATTGACATCGATTGTTGGCGGATCATGTATTGGTTATGCACTGGTAGCACCGGCATTCGAGTAAGTACAGTTCATTGTTAGAAATGTATGAGTTTGCTCTACATTGCACAAAATTTTCATTTCCGTTTTCAAGTCTAGAATCGGATATTAATAAGTATATTCTGTTCACAGGAACAGTTTTATTGAGTATTCTTTAATTTATAATAAAGATAAATATAGATATGAAGTTTGACGGGTATTTTTAGAAGAAAGGTCGGGTGAATAAAAGTTTTGAATATTGACTTGCAAAGAGAGATAATCAATAGATTTTGATTGCTTATATTGACTTATAGAACAAAGAACTGGGACTTGAACACATCGAATCAATCGCAGATTACTTTACGGTATCGTACTACTCTCTCCATGTCTGCTCTCACATCCTCTTGTATCGTTTGTTTCTAATAAGCTTCGCGACGTGTTTTAACACTAAAGCTATGATGAATTCTCATATTTTCAATGTGTTGTTTCTTTAGAACTCGTGATAATGGATTATTTTCTGGCAGGTAAGCAAAGATATGCCTTGATCAATTCTATGATTCGTTGTTTTCTTCTAGTCGAAATGTTCAAATTCTTTCTCAACAGGAAGCTTTCGAAAGCAGTCAACGTTGTACAAGTACGCTGAATAATCTGGAACGTTTTATGAGTAATAATTTAATTGATATATTCGGCTGTGATTATTCTTCCTCGGGTATTTCCATGAATTTCATTGATACAAAATTAAAAACATTCTTCGCGCGTCGGACACAGGATGGACGACGTTATGATACATATTTTCTGTACTTTTCTGGTCCAACATGTGATAATGGTGATATAATTCTATGTGGTAAAGAAAAACATGTGTGTTTTTCACTTCGAAATGCGAAAACTTCCATTTTAGATAATCAAAAAATTACATTGAATCTCCTTTTGCAATGGTGGTGTGAAAACGAAAGTTCGAGTTCGACATCTCGTCTGATTCTTTTGTTCGATACTTTTAATTCCTACAAATGGTTGAAACAGATCCGTTGTCAAACGTTCAATCATTCGTGTAAACCAAGTGTTTTTCTTGTTTTACAAACATTTATTCGGCAGAAGAAAATGCCCAAACTGATCGAATTAGGTCAAGTACGTTTAGGTGTTTTTACTGAAATCTGGTTGAAATTGAATATGAACAATGAACCGTCGAAATCTAGTCATGATTCGAATGCATCATGGCGTGCTAATCATCTCGAACCGAAATGTTCATTTTCGTATTTCTATCCAGAATTCAATTTTCATCATCCCACCAATGCTGACGTCGATGTTTATCTAAACGAACATCCGTTTTTGAAACGTCTGCACTTTGTTTATCATGTACTGACTTACATTCCGTCGTTGTTCATCTATCCGTTTTTTTACACATTCAATTGTATGAAGCGTTGGCGATTTCATTTATTAGTACCACGCGTGATTGATACATACCATGGTTTTAAGTTATTTGTACGATAGAAGAGTTTTTTGTTTTCAAATCTCAAACGATAAATAATGAGAACATTTCTTTTTTTTTAGATTGACAACTCTTTTTTGTTGTTGTTGTCTTCTTCTTCTTCTTCTTTGTCACTAGATTCTCTTTTGTATATATTCAACTAGTTGATACATTAATGTTTTTATGAACGCGTCTTGTGCGTTACAACACTTCTGCGATCTACATGGACCACAAATTTTACTATGTACAGAAGCACGAACTTATATTCAAGGTGACAATGACGACGAGGATTTGAAGGCATTCTACTCTCAATACGTCAAATCAGAAAATCCTCAAGGGAAAGTTGAATGCAAGTCATGTACATTATCACCCGAACATACCCTTGTGTCAACAATCGATTTGAGTAATCATATGTTATATATTTCATCGCCTTCAACACCAAATCAAGATCTATTCAAGAACATTCGAAATGCTTGTGTACGAAGTTTAAATATTGAGGTATGTTAACAAGTAAAACAGGGTTTACATCGAATTTTGTAACAGATGGGGGAATTTGAGGACCTATTTTTAGCTCTTATTTCCAATGTACTTTTTCTTCTCGACCTTTTTATCTAATGCATGAGTAAACATGTTTGATAAAGAACAAAACTATTGTCCTATAAATGACGTCATGAGATGTTTTTAGAAATCCGTGGAAGTCGATGCTCCAGTCATCTTTGGTGATCCCGAAAATGGCTATTGTTTATCATTAGCGTTCTCCTGTAAAGACTTTCACGCTCGTGGGAGTCAGCGTCTTTACTCGCTATGCTATCTTTGTCCGGATAAATATCATCTGATTTCCTTAATGAAAGTTCTTACTGATTGCCTGCGACAAGCTGTTCGCTGGATACAATTCGATGCCAACGAAACCTATGAACAGGAAGGACGCATCAAAGTGAATACAAATCTGAATGGGACGTCAACGACAAGTAAAGCGACCTATATCTTTCGTCCACCACCTCGTACACCTTCACAACGAATGCTTAGTGATATTGTACGTGATACGAAGATCACACATCGTATTCACGCTTTATTTGTTTGGTTGTTACGGACGGCTAGTTCAGCAATCAATGAATCGCTTTTCGATGCATTGCCCACTGAAGAACAAACCACAAAACAGGAACGAAGAGGTAGGAAACAATGGCCGTCGAAATTTTGCTGATGATAATTTACATGTAGATGTGTACGATAACGAAAGTTTGTCCAATTCAATGACAAAACGTCGAACAACTACAATCACAGCCGCATCTATGACAGCTCGAACTCAAGAATCGTATCTCATGTCATCAACATTAACTAATCATACACATCATCCAAGTTACCTATCGACATCTTTATATTCCTCAGCGGACCATACTTCGCGAACTGAAAACGGCTTCTTTGATGATTATGATGATGATTTCGATTCTCTACAGTATCAGTTCTCTTCGTATGGTTATGAAGCGTTCAAATTATTTGAATTGTTTACCAAGAAGTTGAATAATGTCAAATATCTACAACACATTCTTCATAATTGGGTTATTGGAAATCGAATCATTCTCAAATATACAAATAGAACCGATGGCAAAGATCCTATTCGTGCACTAGCAAGTGTTTTTCGAGTAAGCGGCCAGTGCGTCCATCAAATAGTTTTCTCCTTTCTCTTTTTAGTTATTTTTACCAGACGGTTGTTTCAATCTAATCGAAGCAACGGATAAAATATCATCGTGCACAGCAAATCTGATTTTATACGACACAGATTTAGTTTTAGACAATGAAGCGTCGTCCTTGATGGATGATACAAACGATAACAATTCGATCATTATTAAACTTCTGCTTGACGATATCGATGATAATCTTCGCGTTGTAAAACTAGAAACTCTACCGTCAGCAAGATCAGAAGTTCCAAGTAAGCTTTTTTTTTATTTACATAGAGAAATGACGCATATGATAACGATATTTGTTTAGTACCAACTTACGTGAAAACAATCACAGATTTATTTACAGATAGTAGTTTGAATGAGGAAGCTTTTGAATCGATTATTACACAGCATAAGATCAAATATCTAAAGTAGGACTTTCACTGTAAGGTATGATGGTTGTCTGCAAGTTCATTGTTTTCAGTAAAGCAAAACTTTACTTTCAACTTGGCCGTTGTCCTACAGCATCAGCGTTGTCGACCAATGATCATCAGCAAATGACGATCTTCAATGTGGAAAATTCGAGCGACTTGAAATTGATACGCTTTTGGCAAAAAGGTCTTTCTCAAACCTATCGAAAGCAAATACGTCTCTTGAAACAAGATCATAATCAACAACAAAGACTATAATAAGAAGAATCTGTTACAAATCATCTATTTTGAACAGTACGAGTCGAAAACCGGTGGTGCATGTCTGTTTCTGTATTCCTTTCTTTTCTATGAGCAACTATGTCAAAGATGCTACTTGTATATGTTTTGTGTTCTGTCATTTCTATACACGCACTTGTATATTCGATATTTTGCTCAATCATTTGCTTGTTTTTCTTTCACTGCTTTCTCGAACGAACAAGTCGGAAGGTTATTTTGTAAAATACGTTTATCTTCTTCTCTTGTTAGTTGATCCGAGCTTTGGTTCTCTCCGATCCTGTTGTCTCTTTTTTTTTCATTTATATGCATTGCACATTCTTCTTGTTCTATTCTGTTTTCTTTTTTGGCAAGAATTTATAAACAACAAACATCAAATCGGCAGTTGATTTATTGTTTTTCCTTGTTGGTTGATTTTTTTTCCTTTTTCTAGATCAATATGCCTGTTAGACAAACAACAACAACTGTAACTACAACCCAACCACCGAATAAAGTATGTGATACGAAGAAGCTCGATAGAATTTAGTATTATTATCTATCTAACGTAGTATGAGTACAAAACAATCAAAGAATTATATAAACTGGATCGACCAAGTGGTGCTAAATGGTGTTTTTACGGTGTTGTTAAATTTCGACGAGATATCAATGATAATTGTATGCTACTAGGCATTTGTGATCCCACGTCTTATGGAAAAGGTAAAATAGGAAGTTGGAGAAAATTCTGCTCTTATTTCGGAAATCATTTGTAGGTCCGAAGGGTGTCAGTTGTCTTTTGTATCGTGAATCCTTTGCTGGTATGATTGAACTTCCGGTTGAAATCGAAGTTGGGCATCTGATACGTTTGCATCGCATGAAAGTCGGTCATATTCTGAGAAAAAAAAGTATTGCTAATTGATTTGCGTGGAATAGATTACTTCTTACAAACCGGAAAGTGGTTGTATTCAAATGAAATCATCCAACTATTACAGTTGGTAAGTTTATTTACAGTTAATCATCATAATCTCGTGTATTCGAAACTTAAGGCTTATATTCAATGCTGAAGATGATGGGAATTACAAACCGATTGCTCAAAGTAGTTTTTCTTACACATTTTGTAATGGTGATCGTCGTAGAGTGAGTTTTTGATAGTGAAATCATTTTATCTAGATCAGATTTCTGCTTGTTATAGATTGATGATTTGCGCGAGTGGTTATCGTCATTTGGCGACGACGAAACTTTACAAAGTGAATTGGATTTTCAATATATTTCGCTTGAACCAAAGTTGTTCAACGATCAATCTACACAAACAAATGAAAACGACGCGCACCGTGTCAATACACGTGAGATGATCAGTTCAAGCGATGAAAGTGAATCATCCGCGTTACTTTCGACTCCAGAAGTTATCGAACCGATAAAAAAACGTTTGCGTAGCAACCAAAAATAAAGATTTCCGTTTTTCTTTGTGCATGTTTAAAATTGCCTTTTGTTTTTTAAATATGTATGTTATTTATTTCTCAGCTCTGTCAGATTTTCAGTTTTTTTTTTTCTTTCAAATATGTTCTGACGATTTTCTGTCAGCCCGATAAATATATGTGCAGATCAACTATCATCGGCTCATCTTTTCATTTCACGATAATGACTGAACAAGAAGCGTTCCGACTATCATTAACGTTGCTTTTTATGGCATGTGCACACCAATATAGATTAGCTTGACAACAAGTAGAAGCACGTTTACCGTAACTTAAAAGTCCAAAGTGAGCATTTCTTCATGTGAAAATAATGAGCTACATTTCCATTTCTGTACTTTTTAGTAACTGCGTTCTTTTATTCACCTCGATAATCAGAGTAGCCTCGCGTTATCTACTTTATGTATAACTAAACTTCATTTACATTTCTCAATCACAATGAGTTTAAATCAGAAACAAATTCAGATTTCCGTTAGGCCTTCGAGTGTAACACTAAAATAGGTTATGAGTAGGCGACGCTATGGTAGATTTCATTGATTTGCTCATGATCGTATACAATCGTGCCTTAACAATCTTCTTATGACATGAGATCATCTTTGAAAAGGATGCGATAGGGTGCCACCCACGACCTATGAATGTGTGCGTGACTGACATTGGAACGCGGATACCTTTGTCATTTGCACCCTTAGGAACATAGTGTTTTCAGTTTTGCAATAATCATTGGGACTTGATGCGCACTTCGATTACAGAGCAAGTATATAATTACTAATTCCATTTAGCTTTTAAGAGCAAGGATCCGATTTACTAATCTGTTCGGAAAATCACAGATTTGCCCTATCAAGGTGCACAGAAGAAGAATGTTTGACACAAAAAAACAACATCCGTCATTTAATATGATAATTTTTCGGCGAGCTCCCATCGGTGCTAATACCAATTTACGCGCATGAATGAAGTATCTTTCTGCATGCGATGGCATTAACAAAGAGAGAAAAAGAACAAACACACATTTCTTTCATTCTCGTAACGAAACTATTCAATTCAGATAAAAGAAGTTCAAATTTAGCATAAAAAATGATCATTCAGATGTGCGTATCAACACTTAGGCACGTATTTCTCTTCGAAATATTCAAGTTTTACTCTTGTTGTTAATAAGAAATAATTCGATCTGGCGGGATTATATTTGCTTGTTCATCTCGCCGATGTGCGTCTATGTTCGTATTTTCATTGTCGCTTTCACTGCCATATCTTATCGCTAATCATCTAATCTTGCTCATTTTTCTCACTAATACAATTCAGCTATCGATTCTTCTTCGAATTATCCGATTTTCTTCCACATCTATGCAACCAATCGATATGTCAGCATCATCTTCGTATTCAACCTTGGAAAGACCTCGAAATACTAATAAAGTCAACAGAAGTCGAGCGATTCACTCGCGCTCAGCCCAAAGTTCAATAAATCTTCGCACCATTCATTTGCACCCTTCCATTCAACAGAAACTATCCCAGGCAAATGACGATGTTATTCGTATAGAAAGTGCTCTCCTTTCAAGTGACTATTCACATGCACATATCTCTCAATCTATTATGACGAGAACAAATGATTTAATAAATCGAATCGGCGGTGGAGATGAACTATTTCCACCGGATTGCTTTGTGAAACAAGCATCGGTTATAACTATTCCACACGATCATAATAATCAGTATTTAACACTCGAACGCGTTCCAATATGCACTCGATCAATGAATCAATTAACAGCAATTCAAACGGTGCTACTCAGTCTAACCGTCTTTCTACTTGCTGTTCTATTGTGCCTATCAATAATATTTTTTCTCGTTTAAAATGCTCCGTTGTCTTCCTACACTTCACATCCGTAAGGCTCACGAAACGCTCCTCATGTTTTCCAAAATGCTTGAATAAATTATCCGTCTACCCGATAGGCTAATTTTCTGCCTGTTGATTCTACCGATTCGAATAGGAGCAAAAAAGAGCATTGCTATTCCCTCGTTTAAAACAAATTTTCTCATGCATGTGCATCTCACTTGTTCCTTCAAAGTCTCTTCACTGAACGTTCCATTTCCAAAGAGCATATATGCTAACATCGATTCATAGTTAATAGGGTAGAACATTCAATTTCTCTCCCTATCGTCATACATAATAAATCGAATTCCGTCATTGGTATTAAAAGAGAGAGAGAAAGAAACTTTATGCGTGTGAAATAATAATGGCTTTCATGCCATCTCAATGCTCATTTAATTAGAAAATAAAAAGGCAAAGGCGAGCAAACGAAGATTTGAGAATGTCATAAGCCCACGAAGTACAGAAATCCAGAAAAAGAAACAAATGACAACATAAATACATTGAGAAAATAAGAAGATCTTCTATTTTGATCTCTTCCTAAAATAGTACTCCTTGAATCTCTGTCTAAACATCTTCGATGAGACATAATAAAAAATTAAATTCACCGAATGTGTGATTAACAACGGAATGATCGAGAAGAAATTCATCGCTTGCCAGAACTTCCGATTTCCTTCATCGTTAGTGTACGTTTGAATCATAATGGTCGAAATACAATTTGGTAATGTGCATAGGATGAAACAAATCGAGATTGCTAATAAGCTGATCGTGATCTGCAGTTGTACACAGATCTTTTGTGTGTGTGTTGATTGGGATGACAACGGGGGAACGATTGTTGTCGAAGATGAACGATCGTAACAGGATGATACAGATCGTCGTTTTTGATCGGAGACATTCGATGGAAACTCTGATGAATTTGCCAATTGATCATTCAAGGTCATGGGAACATTTATTCGATAATTCGACCCATCATCTATACAGAGAAAGTATGAACAAGAGTCAAATGATGTCATCAAAAATTTACTTGTCAAGACCAACGATGTAGTGACCCCTTTGTCTTCATTCACCGAGACGAACGTATCACGTCTATGTTCGGAATTGTTCTCCATTGAATACGTGCGAATTTTTAGTGATGTCGGTGGTTTATCACAGGCAGGATTGGAATCACTCGGTGTAGTCGCTTGTTCTTGTTGAATGCCAGTAGATGGAATCGATTTTTTCACGGCATATTTCTTCTTCATGTTCGCTTTGTTCTGTCCGACACTAATGACAATGAATATATTACATATTGTGATGATCGTGAATGGAATAATGGAATACGATAAGAGGTATACGACGTTCAAACGCGAGTAATTCGCTTCGTACCATTTGTAACGTCGGATGCTACAGAAACGATTGGAGTCAATAGTGTAACCAATTAAATAATGTGAATTAACAATTGAAAACACAGCTATGACGCTAAAGCAGATCATACGAGAAAAATTCGTCGTGCAATTACGACGATACAATGAGATACACGACGTCGCGAAAAGACGATCGATCGATAAACATGCTAGAAGTCCAGCTGAAATTTGACAAGACAGGTAATTGAAAAATACGATTGATTTACAAAAGAAGATATTCCAATTGAGAATGTAGATCTCGATCGTAATTAAGAACAACAATGGTGCGGTGACGACCACGTAGATAGTATCGAAGATGGCTATGAATATGAAATACCATTTGGACGATGAACGAGCGTAGATTCGCGATTGAAAGGTTCGTATACACGCCCAGTTGAAGATCGGACAGATAACAGCAAACAGTGGACAAACAATACGCAATGACCAGATCGACAGATGAAGAAGCAGATTGGATGAATCAGTCGTAAGATTTGATATTAATTCGTCGGAATGGTTAGAAATATTCATGATCTAGAGATATGGAAATATTTGCTAAATCCTCAATAGCACGAAAGCAGTGCGTGTTTCACATTATCCAACCTACACTATTCTTCCAAAGCAAATTAAAGGACAGAAATGTATCGTCAAAGCGGCTTGCCTTATTCTCGGGATATTTCTTAACTCGTCATGCTCTGTTTCGTTCATTACGTAGCTTTTTTCTCCTCAGAGGAGTCATAAACCGATGCCGTTAGTTTCTCGGATGTGCGAGCGATGAATTGCTTGAAGTCATTAATTTAAAGGAAATTATTTTCTGCTGAAAATTGATCTTAGAGATTTCGACGTTTCCGATAGCATTGCGGAATGCGTAAGGACAAAAATTGAGGGAGACGAAAGCGTCACTTGGTACCGTACTTTGAAAAGAAAACAGCAAAGCGAGCAGTCCTGAGAAACCTTCCTGTCTCAAGTATTGACATTAATGAACAAAGAAGAGAATGAGAAAGAGAAAAAGCGCAAATTATCAACTGAAAAGTATTCTCCGGAACGTAGAAGTGTTACTTTCTCTCTCTCTCTCTCGCTCTCCCTCTCTTTCTCGCGTTCGCTCTCTTCAGAAAATATGCGTCAATTGCATTCAGTTAGTCTCATCTATTTTTTCCTACTTCTTAACATTCATCTAATCTCTCCTAAGTTTATCTTGAATAAAGTCAAATCAATTGTCAATGTTTTCCTAACCAAAGTAAATAAAATGAGTCGACGAACGTCAACACAGTACAGACACTCCTATCATCATTGTATTTGATTTTCTCAACGGTTCCATCAAAGCCAATTCAATTATTAATAAGGAGAGTTTTCCGGATGATGCAGACAAAAAATTCTCGTTATCCGTAAGAGGAAAAAGTATTCTAGCGCTTTGAACTCCTTTTCGACGTAGCGCAAATGATAGATCGACGAATATGGCTTCTCTTGGGTACATTTGAAAATGTCAACAAAAATCTCGATATCTTTTTATAGCAAACGATTGACTCGAGAAGGCAAATAATCAGTGATACTTACAAGTGGAGGAAGTTTTGCATTGAAAAGTAATTACGTCGTGCATTTCGGTACTACGGGAGAAGATTGGTGTACTTATCTGGAAAAGCAAAGAGGAAAAAAAGAAACTCAGACAAAAGAAAGATCGATGAAATTATATTGTCACATTGTGAAAATTGATTTTGCGTAGGTTAACACGTTTCGATGAAGTCGTATGAGAATTTATGTGCAATTACATATATTTTCTTCATTTACAAAATGAAAAAGAAAATGATAACAGTTATTTTAAATATCTAGGCATTTCTTATTCATATGTGGACTCTTCTTCAAATCAAAATATATCGAACGCCTATTATAACTATGCGCACTTGGGTATTCAAGCCTACTAGCGGCAGCAGATGCTATCTCACAAGTTAATTACGAGGAGGGTCTTTAGCAGTTTGATGCGCTGTTGTTGTTTCACAAGTACTGGTATTTTTAGACGCTTCCAGTGAACTAAATCAATTAGACTTCTGTTTGACAAGTTACAAGTTTGAAAATGTCTCGATTGTTTGTGATGACGCACAGAGCGGAACAAGAACTATTCGATAACGTAGTTACCTACATGTTGAATGGATTGATCGATTGAGAACGATATGAAGTCGTATGTGAGAAGAAAAAACTATGTCTGTCACTCGAATCCCTGAAGAAATCAAGTAATATAATGATGTTTTTTCATGCGCACAGCGATTGTGCAGAGTTATCTAGTCTACAAAAGTAGTGCAACTTCTTTCCAAAGGAAAGTCATTCGAGTTCAGCCCATTCGCCAAGAATAATAATATTTGGAAAGGCATGCTTTGCTTTTCTTAGTCGGAAACACGAATACTGTTGACGTTCACTTACTCCTATGCAAATACATCGAGAAAAGACGAGACATAGTTCTTTCGTGAATGATTTCTGTGAATATCCAATTGAGAGAGATGATCCTCGAAGACAATAGAAAGCTTTTAGGCTATCTTACACAGGAAAGACGTTCTGAACTAATAAGAGCATTGCGCAGTAGAAAAATCGCAGACTATAATACATATCAGACTTTGAGAGAGACATACCTAATACACTCAGTGGGTATAAAGTACTAATAGTTTAACCTGATACTTGTCACGAAACGAGGTAACTTAGTAAACAGAAACACATTAGGATTCAAAAAAACTTCTCTATTCCTATTCTGGAACATAATGGAATGAAATGAGTCACGTGCATTGTGAGACAAATGTTGCGACCAAGATTGTAACGTGGATAGTTTCGTCAATGATTTTTCTCTTGTGAAGAGAACGTATTTGCGTAGTATTGAACAATTCTGTTTTTCGTTCGATGTTGGTCAATAGATCATGACATTTAACCGTCTAGAATCCAGCTTATGCACTTTTAATGAAGAATTTATCAGGTTATTCAACTGACAAAAATATTAAGTCTTCAAGACGGCTTTCTAGATGGTAGCGTAAATTGTCAGTTATGTTTGATATTCGTCAAGATGACGGAAAAGTCGGGTTAAGATTGTCCCCGATGTCATTAAGAACTACGAGAACAAAAAAAAATATGAAACAGACATATTGAAAAGCGTCTAACATTTAGTTTGTTAGTCTCTTTTTTGCGACTAATTTTTAATTAAGTATAGTTCTTTTTTTACTTAAGCATCATATTAATGCTTCTTTCGTCAATTGTCAGAAAAGGGATGTTCTTTTGACAATTTATATTAAATTGCTTGTCATCTTTTATTTCGGAAAATTTGCATAATTTCGATGAGATAGTTGTAAATATAGAAAAGGGCGAGAGGATTAGTTCTTAAAGTTCATACCGATCTATTAGGACAATGATTGAATTGATTCGATTGAAATGATTAGCGAGATAGTTGGGCCTATACATACAAAGAGGAAACGCGAACTTCACCGAAGTGGAATTTAATTTCATAAAGAAATTAATCGAACAGAAAAAACGTAGTATTAATGAAATTGTACCTCAGTAAACGGGTGTAATAAAGAAATGCCAGACAAGGAGCCGAAAGTCATGCTTTTGCAATCAACTCAAGTAATGAGGTTGTCAGTTGGAGAAGCAGATAGGTTTAATGAATTGTTTTACGAGGAATCTCACTCGTCTCTGACGTAAATTGATGCGAGTAGATGCTTGTAGTTTTTTTTAAACCATAGTAACAGAACAGTTATTTTTATTTTTTTTTTCAAAACAAGATTCACGTGCTTAGCTTATTGGTAACACACTGACTAAATTTATCGATTTTCGCCAGATTTGCAGTCATTTTTTCGTTGGCAATACCGACAACTTTTGTTATATAATTCTGATCAACACATAAACAACTTCCAATCACGATTGGCACTTCGAGTGCATGCGTCGAGCGTACTGCTAATGTGATTTTCCCTTGATTTGATAGAACTAAACCTGAGTTTCTATAGCCGCATTCGAGCGCGATGTTCAGCAGAACTTTTGCACATTCTAATGTTCGACAAATGACATGGAGAATAAACGCTTCGAACTTAATCGAAATCATATCGATATCCTTCGGTCTTTGTTCGAGACATTCTAATATCGTCTGCAGATCGGCCTGTTCATGTGTGACGTACAACCATTGACAATCACTTTTCGTCGAGGACGTGACAGTCGGTGATGAAGTGAAGACAATTGTTCGGCCTGAGCACGAAGAACTTGTGTAATAATCATTATGACTATTAATTTGATTGATTAGATTGACGATATAATCATCGATTGAATGTTTCCGTGAGAGATCTTCTTTGTCAACTGCGAGTGCATCGTGTTTCCATTGATCGAAATGTTTCGACATTCTATTTATAATCTACAATTGTTTAGCGTCTAGATTGGATATGAAAAGAAGAAAGAGAGACTTTCTCGCGTGTTTACAAAATCATCAGTATACACGAGTTACAAAATAAATTTATATTAAAAAAAAACCATTGGTTTAAATTAGTTTTACTGTTCATTCGAACGCGATACCGAGAAGAAAACCACCGATGAATGAGGATGTGATTGCCAAATTTGCTATTGCGAAATCTTTTAACTGAAATCAATTGCAGTGATTGATGAGAGAAATTTGATGAAAATCAGTCGGACTTACATGATCAATTAAACCAGCTGAGGATGATTGATCACGAAATGTTTCGATTTCTTCTCCGTCGATATTCGTAGTCGTCGATTGAGGAAGAGTTGATATTGCTGCACGTTGAAGATGATTCAATTGTTGCTGTGCCGTATCACGAATTCGGTCGAAATGAATATCGACATAACCGGATTGTTTAGCAATCTAAATGCAAGAAACTTTCAACGTCGATTCGTTACTCCGTATCGACACTTACAGCTAATGCCAGAACGGATGCACCGATAGTGAATGCAACGGCTTTACTTGCTTTTGCAAAACAGTATCCAGCTGCTCTGTAACAGTACAAGACAATTAGTAAGTATTCGATGCTGTATATAAGGATATTTACATGCCCGATAGGCCACCAACAGCCGCTTGTTTCTGTGGACTTAGAAGAGTGATTTCATGAAGGGCACGTTGAACAATTTGATGTACTTTTGTTTCATCATCTTGGTCGCGAGTTGAACGATTAACTACAAGTTATCATTCAGTCAGCTTTCGAAAGATTTTTCAACAATCGAACCTGTACGAGATTGGTATACAGCTGGTGTGCGAGAGTTTCTATCTGAAGACGTCATCTGCTAAAAGATTGATATATCTAAAAAAAAATTAAAAGAAAAAATTGAATTGGACGGAATGCATTATTCATAAAAAAACAATTATGAAATGTATCTAATTATATCGTGAGATCATTCATTGACAAATGCCAATCACACCAGCAGCCAGACGATTTGTTGGACTGCTCACAGTTCCTTTGTTGTCTTCAGTATCAACACGTGTGAAATCTTCTTCTTTCTCATCTGTTATAACCACTGATCGACCAATAATCGACGATGGACCGAATAAAGTCAAACGTTTATCAATTACATCGATTTTGGCTTGACCTTCTGGACTTATTTGTAAATTACCATACTCATTCTCATTGTTATTTGTTGGATCTTTTGATAGGTTCGACGATTTCACATCTGGATTAAATCGTCCGCCAGTTGATGTCACACCCGTACTCAAATCTCCAAATTCATGTACGCGAAAAGTAAGTTTTCGATCCGTTGGTAAGCCCCGTAATTCTCCAGTGATTTTCATTTGATTAATGCCGATCATTTGAGCAAAATGAATGACACCTTGGATGTTGTTATTTTCACCATTTCTAAGTACGCATACAGCTCGAACTGTGACTGAATCTTGTTGACTCGGCATGGGTCAATTGGAAATTCTCTTGGTGTTTATCTACAAAATAGAAACGATCAATTCGGCAGAATTGTGAACATTCATCAATCGATTTCTTTTGTCTCTCCACACAACTCTTTCAGCTGTTTCTATGATGCAATCCATGTTTTACCCATCCAATGGAATAAAGGCACTTATTCCAATCTAAAATGGTCATGTAATGTAAATAAATTACTGATGGACGCGTAGTTCTACGCAGAACAAATCGATATGCTCGAGGCTTTTTTCTCTTTTGCATTTTGGAACGCATGTTTATTGCTTGTTTTTTTTTCGAGTATACTATCACCAGGAAAGGACAGAACGTAGTTAGCGTGTATATTAAAAATGAAATACAACGAAGATAAAAAGAACAACGTACAAACAATTCGCAAAAGAAAAAGAATCTAGGCTAATTTTGATCGAATCGATTGTCGATGTAATTGTATTACTTTTTTTCGGGATTGACTGTACCAATGATACCGCATGCTAAGCGTTTGCCAGCATTGCCGGTTTTCTTCGATTCTTCGTTATCACCTCGACCTAAGTCATCGGCTTTTTCGTGAACGACCAAGCAACGGCCGAGAATTGAATGTTCACCATTGAGAGAAATCATTTTGTCTTTAATGTTGACATTAACGACGCCACTACCGTCAGTTTGGACATTTCCTAAGTCACCAACATGTCTACAAAGGAAGTACAACAAATAACAGAACAGATTCTGCATTCGCCTATACCTGTCAGCATCGTCTGGACCAGCATGTTGTTTTTTATGTGGATTGAAATGTGCACCGGCAGATGTACAACCCTATCGAGACCAATTCGAGAATATATGTAGGTCATGAGATGATGAGAACGAACTTACATTGCTAACATCACCAAACTCATGAATATGGAAACCATGTTGACTATTCTCTCCAAGTCCTTCGATTTTTCCTGTGACAACGACAGTGTCACCTTGTTGCTCAAATTCAATCACACCATAGACTGGTTTCTTAGATGAACCTGCTGTAGTACTGGCTTGTCCGTCACTAGATGTTGCTCCGCCTCGACCCCATTGATCTTTATTACCAGCAACGTGAACTTCGTCGCCGATTAAGACAGCTTTAGCTCGTGTGATACTCATGTTTTTACTTTTGGTGCTAATTTGAAATGTAAGTCTAAAATTTGAAAGAAATTAAGTTAAAGATAGACCATATAAAGCGCACGCAGTATCACATCAAAAGAAACAGAACAGAAGGGGGGTTGTGCTGACTGCACCCCCTTGAAAAACGATGATTCATTCATGAATTTTTAACAAGCGATTGGAGATTTTATGAGCGAATTATAATCTTAGTTTATTTGTCTAATAGAAATCTCTCGATCATCTCTTCGATATCTTTCGACTTGGCATTTATATCAGCTAGTTCAGTTTGAAAGTCTTCTGTTGACATGTATGAATTCGTTTGGACAATCAATTCTGCTGAATTAGTTGATGTTTTACTGGTAATCTCTGATCCAGATAGACGTTCAACCGATGGATTTTGAACAAAACTTTGTTCTCCAAGTATCTTGTTCAAATCCGACTCGACAGGAGTGTAATGCATACAATGAATGTTGCACTAGAAGATCAAAAGGGATATTCTACATCTTATGATGAGCATAACTGACCAATTGTTCAATAAGATTGACTACGCATGAAAGATTATCAAATTTCGAGTAAATCAGTTGAAGTTCACAGATTTGTAAGTAATCACGAAGTTTAGATGATAGTTTCCAACATTCTTCTACTTTATCAATAATATTTGATTGAAAACAATTACGAACACATCGACGACATAGATGCTTTAGTGAAAACACCCGAAAGCTCGCATAACATATACACGTGTAAATAAATGCTACATATGTGGTGTGTAAATTCACATTTCCCATCCTCATTTCATCTCCAATACGATATTCACATATAGGCACAATATTTCGTAACACTTTCGTGCCCATTGACAAGGCATAATAGATTAACGTCAAAACTATTGATACATCCGATAATGGAGAGATGTTATTCATCAATACCGTACATGGATCATGAGCAATGAATTCAATAAGTGCATTCGATACGTCAACATTATGTGTATTACATAAGGCAAGTACTGCTGATTGCCAAGAATGAGTTTTGCAGAGATATTGCACAAACAAACGATGATCTTGATCAGTACCAATAATAATTATCTGAAGACGATGGAATAAGTCAATCAGTGACGACGGCATTTCAAGGTCAGACAATCTGTGATAAATGTGCAGTAGGAGATTTGCATTGATTTGTCCATTTTTGACAATGTGACAATTATTGAAAATAAGCTCCTTAGATGAGCATCGATTTGTGATTGTGATGACACATTCTACAATGTCCGTAAATTGATTTGTTGTTAGAGAACTCTCGGATAAATTGAGAATTTGCGCGCATAAATGACAAAGTGGAGTATAACCTTCAAAAGCTGAATGTAATAGAAGCTATCAAAGGGAACGAACGCTGAATGTACCATCTTTATCTCTGATGCAAACATTGATCTCCGGTAGACCTATAAGATACTTCGCAAGGTTGTAGTTTTCCGTTAAAATTGCATAATGTAAACTTGTTCGATGATAGAAATCTTCTAGACTTTTCACAGAGAGTTTTCAATATCTTAATCTTCAGAAAAAAACATACTTCGTCAAAGCACCGTAGTCCGTCAATAGTTTCATTATTTCAATATCGTTACGGTATTTCGTTCCATATAGTGCTATATAGTGGCAAGCCGTTCGACTGTATTGATCCGATAGATTAGTGTCAATGCCCATGTTCAATATTTTTCGGATATTTTCTTTCTGTGCATTGACGACAGCATAGTGAAGAACGCATTGATTCAATCTGCCGTTTTTTACGTCAAGATTCAAATTTATCGATGCACATTCATGCAACGCTTCAATACGATCGTAGAGATCAGCTAGAGACAAATACCATATGAGAGTGTTTCGATGCTCATCAAATTCATTGATTATTTGACGAAACGTTTCATAATGTGTTATTTTCAAATTCTGCACGGCGCGACGAAAAGATTCAGTATCGGATGTCAATGCTGATCGTAGTAAAGCAGTGAGATCATCGTTTGTAAAGGAACTGTTCATAAGTAAATTTTCGTTTAGATTTGTTGCTTTTGGAACTGAATTATCAGATTGAGAGTCATTTTTCAGCACATCTACATCAGTCATGTGAGATACAGAAACTATGCCATTTATCATCAATTGATGAAGATTTGATGATTGCATTTCAAACTAGCGAACTTAACATATTCCTCGGCGCTTTATTCTTTCAAACCTTCTTTCCTGCTGTTCATTCACATCTCAGATATGTCGCAAGCTGATTCATATTATAGTAATTAAAACAATAGAAGCGAAGTTTCTTTTAACGAATCATTTATGATTTTTCTTTATTCTTTTGTCTTTGTTTAATTTTGTTTTGGTCATTCGTAACAAAATTAATTGAAGTGAAACAATAACAAATGCAAAAAAATATTGAAAACACAACAGATCTAATCATCACGAAGGAGAACAATTAAGACTCATTACTTAAATAAATAACTAAAGAGATTTTTGCAAAAAAATTGCTTAAGGATGGAGAAGATTAAAGCATTGAAATAGATTTGAAGCCTTACACTTTATAGAGAAAGAATCTTTCGGCTGACGTCGTCTTTCCCATAGTACATTCAGAAAGAGTTGAATAACTAAAATCGATAGAACAGTTCTTAATTGAGACAGATAGAAAGAAATTGCATCGATTCGTGATGTGTGTTGACAATAAGACTGCGTTTGCTATTTCTTTCCAGCTTTGCCACCGGCGGCGGCGCCACTTTTGCCACCAGCTTTAGCTGTAACTTTCTTTTCGACTTCTTTGATAACACCGACTGCGACTGTTTGACGCATGTCACGGACGGCGAATCGACCAAGTGGTGGATAGTCAGCATATTTTTCAACGCACATTGGTTTCGATGGAATCATTTTTACCATAGCGGCTTCACCAGATTTCAAGAATTTCGGGGCTTCTTCGAGTGTTTTACCTGAACGACGATCGACTTTCTCGAGAAGTTCAGCGAATTTACAAGCAATATGAGCTGTGTGACAGTCGAGAACTGGAGCATAACCAGCACCGATTTGACCTGGATGATTGAGAACGATGACTTGAGCTGTGAAGTTGGCTGTTTCTTGAGCTGGATCGTTCTTGACATCCGAAGCAACGAAACCACGACGAAGTTCTTTAACTGAAAGACCTTTTACATTGAAACCGACGTTGTCACCTGGTAAAGCTTCTACAAAACAACATTTCAATAGAATATGTTAATACTGTTTCTTCCAATGAATCTACGTACCTTCGAGAGCTTCATGGTGCATTTCGATTGATTTGACTTCAGTTTGTAAGGTAGAGGGAGCGAAACTAACAACCATGTTTGGTTTGAGAATACCAGTTTCGACTCGACCAACTGGTACTGTACCGATACCACCGATTTTGTAGACATCTTGTAAGGGTAATCGAAGTGGTTTGTCAGTTGGACGTGATGGTGGAATAACAGCATCGAGAGCTTCCAAGAGTGTTTTACCACTAGCATTTCCTTCTTTGCGTTCGACGGACCATCCTTTGTACCATGGCATCTTTTCGGTTGGTTCGATCATGTTGTCACCGTGCCAGCCGGAGATGGGAACGAAAGCAACACCTTGTGAGGCATAGCCGATCTTCTTGATATAGTTAGAGACTTCAGTTTTGATTTCATCAAAACGTTTTTCTGAATATGGTGGTTCAGTTGTGTCCATCTTGTTGACAGCGACGATCATTTGTTTGACACCGAGGGTGTAGGCGAGAAGGGCATGTTCACGAGTTTGACCGTTCTTTGAGATACCAGCTTCGAATTCACCAGTACCAGCAGCGACGACCAAGACGGCACAATCAGCCTATAGATGAATGGAGGAATGAGATGGATGAGGAAATGTGTGGAAAGAGAAACACATACTTGTGATGTACCAGTGATCATGTTCTTGATGAAATCGCGATGACCGGGAGCATCGATGATCGTAACGTAGTATTTAGCAGTTTCGAATTTCCACAGTGAGATATCGATGGTGATACCACGTTCACGTTCTGCCTTGAGTTTGTCCAATACCCAGGCGTATTTGAACGAACCTTTACCCATCTAAACAATCAAATGATGACTATCAGAAAATGACGATGGAAAGTAGGGCTTACTTCAGTAGCTTCTTTTTCGAATTTTTCGATGGTACGTTTATCGATACCACCACACTTGTAGATCAAGTGACCAGTTGATGTTGATTTACCTGAATCGACATGACCGATGACGACAATGTTGATATGAATTTTTTCTTTTCCCATGGTTCACGAAGAATCTAAAAGGTTTTTGTTGAATGCAGCTAATGTGTTTGATTAAAGAGAAAAACAGGTAGCGAATGCATCAATAGATTTTCACTGAATCTTATATATATGACGGATGTTGCAACAGACTTGCGAAAGTTTGTAAATATGATGAAATATTATGCAAGAAAAAAGGAAAAATCGACCGATGTGTCACCTGGATAAGTATTGTAGGTAAAGCTAGAAAAAGGAAGCAAGTACAAAGCGATTTTTTGCTTACTTTGCAAACTATTGGAGGACGTAAAAGAAGTTAGACTTAAAAGGACGACTATAAGAAATGGATGCTTTTAACAGCGTGTAGTTCTTCAGTGGTCGGTAAAAGTGAACAGAAATCTCCTTTCAAACTCGTATCATGTGCTTTTATATTCGATTGACATCTCGTCGGCTATCGGTAAAAGAAGAAGTAATAAATGATTTTGGTCATCGAAGCAGCGAATGCCTGAAGATTATTGAGAAAAGTATTCAGTGATTTCAGACGCGCGATTTCACGACTTATTTTTGTCTGGAATAAATGGTCTGATGATTGCATTTCGCATTGAATTTTATACTGCACATACGAAAACTTCATTTTTTTCGTTTTTCTTCTATGGCAATTAACGGTACTATGGCTTCACAAAAGAAAAACAACTCCTTCCCAGCAGAAAAAAACAGCAGTAGTACCGAATAACAATCAGTAAGAATTCTTGTTTTTTTTTGTCAATGCAAACACTTGCAAAACTTATTTAGTTTCGGTGTACATTCAAGAAAAAAGTATTCGAACTTTTGAATAGAAAATCACCCTTCAATCATATGCAAAACTGATTAACATATAGGAATCAAATCAAATATGGTGGTTCCTCTTTGAAAGCCAAGTGAATGGCAGCAGTAGAGATGCATTATTGAGAGTGTAGTATCACAAATCCATTCGCTTAGTATTGGTTGATGAAGCTACTATGGTACGAAAAACAACAGAGAATTTCGGCCTTTTCTTGCAAATGTGTGCATTAGTTTTTTATTTGTACGAAAGAGAATGACGTTGTTCTCTCTTTCACCCAGTTAGTGATGGATAAGAATAACACGAGGTTACAAACGAAAAGCTAATAGTTCTTGTAATGGACACACAAAAAGATTGAAAAAATAAATATCATTCTTCCAAGATATTAGACATACTCTTTTTCTCTCTTTTTTTCTCGTCGCCAAAACATAATATAACATACTATAACAATGAAGAAAGACAATAACAACGAAAGAGGTAACAAGTGACTGTAATAGTAACGAAAGAAAGAAAAGAATTAACTAGATCGATTCTGTTCACTGGTTGCACTTTTCCTACGAACATACACGATCAAAAGAAACGAAGAACAAATAAAAGCTGGTTAACAATGACTTTTATGTTATAAAATGGAAACGGATTGAAAGAAAGTTCTGATAACGAGAAAGTGGTTTACTTTTTGCCACCTTTGGCAGCCGTAGCTGCTGATTTGGTGACTTTGCCTGATGCTGCAGCTTTCTTTTCGACTTCTTTGATAACACCGACTGCGACTGTTTGACGCATATCACGGACGGCGAATCGACCAAGTGGTGGATAGTCAGAGAATTTCTCAACACACATTGGTTTTGATGGAATCATTTTTACCATAGCGGCTTCGCCAGATTTCAAGAATTTCGGGGCTTCTTCGAGTGTTTTACCTGAACGACGATCGACTTTCTCGAGAAGTTCAGCGAATTTACAAGCAATATGAGCTGTGTGACAGTCGAGAACTGGAGCATAACCAGCACCGATTTGACCAGGGTGATTGAGAACGATGACTTGAGCTGTGAAGTTGGCTGTTTCTTGAGCTGGATCGTTCTTGATGTCAGAGGCAACGAAACCACGACGAAGTTCTTTCACACTAACGTTCTTCACGTTGAAGCCAACGTTGTCGCCTGGCACGGCTTCTACAAGCATACAGATCGACCGGATTTTCTATCACATGAACAAGAGTGGATAACAGTCACGTACCTTCGAGAGCTTCATGGTGCATTTCGATTGATTTGACTTCAGTTTGTAAGTTAGATGGTGCAAAGCTGACAACCATGTTAGGTTTGAGAACACCAGTTTCGACTCGACCAACTGGCACTGTACCGATACCACCGATTTTGTAGACATCTTGTAAGGGTAATCGGAGTGGTTTGTCAGTTGGACGTGATGGTGGAATAACAGCATCGAGAGCTTCCAAGAGTGTTTTACCACTAGCATTTCCCTCTTTGCGTTCGACGGACCATCCCTTGTACCATGGCATCTTTTCGGTTGGTTCGATCATGTTGTCACCGTGCCAGCCGGAGATGGGAACGAAAGCAACACCTTGTGAGGCATAACCGATCTTCTTGATGTAGTTGGAAACTTCAGTTTTGATTTCATCAAAACGTTTTTCTGAATATGGTGGTTCAGTTGTGTCCATCTTGTTGACAGCGACGATCATTTGTTTGACACCGAGGGTGTAGGCGAGAAGGGCATGTTCACGAGTTTGACCGTTCTTTGAGATACCAGCTTCGAATTCACCAGTACCGGCAGCGACGACCAAGACGGCACAATCAGCCTAAGGGAGAGAATAGTTTAGGCATGTTTCGGTGATAGATTCTAGTCGGTACCAAGGTAATTATATTTAGAGGATGTTAGAAAGTGAGGATAAGTGAAGGGGTATGAAAAGGTAGCTGGACAGCACGTGAGTTTTTTTCGTTTGAGGGTTCACATAGAGAGTGACTGAGATCGGTGTAAAAGTCCGATTAAAAACAAACGAAGGAAAAGTCGTTAGATAGGGTATGAAATGTCGAAAAGCTTATCGTTCGTAATGCAGAAAATTGTATATCTTTGAGGCTCCAATATAGACGATAGATTCGCAGCTTTGAGGCAATACATATTCACTGAGTATCTCTGTCTACTATCCACCATATTTCTCAATATTAGTAAAAAAATAGCACGTCATGTTCGAATAGTTGATTAGTCCGGTCACTACGTACTTGTGATGTACCAGTGATCATGTTCTTGATGAAATCGCGATGACCGGGAGCATCGATGATGGTAACGTAGTATTTAGCAGTTTCGAATTTCCACAGTGAGATATCGATGGTGATACCACGTTCACGTTCAGCTTTGAGTTTGTCCAATACCCAAGCGTATTTGAACGAACCTTTACCCATCTAAACAATCAAATGGTGATCGTCAGGAAATGACGATGATAAATAGCACTTACTTCAGCAGCTTCTTTTTCGAATTTTTCGATGGTACGTTTATCGATACCACCACACTTGTAGATCAAGTGACCAGTTGATGTCGATTTACCTGAATCGACATGACCGATGACGACAATGTTGATATGAATTTTTTCCTTTCCCATGTTGGATGAATAATGTTATAACGAACGAGAAGATAAATGAGTGAAAATCTACAAAACATAGAATAAGATGGTTACGACGACGATTAAGATTTTTGGAAAGAAAGATGAATTTAGTGGTGGTGTGATTATCACATTTATTTTCTCTTTTTTTACTGTCATCTCTTAGAATTCCTTCAGTCTCAAACTATCTCTTTCCGTGTCTGTGCGTATTCAGAAACCGATGATGTTCGAAAATATTACACAAAACCGGAAGAAGACAGTCGGGATTAAAGGAATCCGGAAATTATTTTCGCAAACATATCAGGCGTCATTGTTACGATGGACAAGTGTATAAAAAATCGGAAAATATTGGTATGTACGAGAAAAAGTAAAGATCCAACGCAGAATAACAAGCTACAGAAAAACAAACGAAGAGAACTATAACAATGAAAGTGAATATTCACGACTAGTACGGAAACAAAAAATAAATATGTATAAAGCATACGTAAGATTTCTCGTGGAAACAAAACTCTTTCTCACCATCCTCAACCCCTAAAGGCACCTCAAAACTATAAATAATCCTACCTATTATTAATGTTTCTGACCAATATTTATACAAATATTGTCTTTTCATTTCCTGATATATGTCTGCGATAATTTTAGTTCATTTACTTTTTGCCACCTTTGGCAGCCGTAGCTGCTGATTTGGTGACTTTGCCTGATGCTGCAGCTTTCTTTTCGACTTCTTTGATAACACCGACTGCGACTGTTTGACGCATATCACGGACNCAGTGAGATATCGATGGTGATACCACGTTCACGTTCGGCTTTGAGTTTGTCCAATACCCAAGCGTATTTGAACGAACCTTTACCCATCTAAACAGTCAAATGGTGATCGTCAGGAAATGACGATGATAAATAGCACTTACTTCAGCAGCTTCTTTTTCGAATTTTTCGATGGTACGTTTATCGATACCACCACACTTGTAGATCAAGTGACCAGTTGATGTTGATTTACCTGAATCGACATGACCAATGACGACAATGTTGATATGAATTTTTTCTTTTCCCATTGTGATAGATCACCGAGTGATGTATGAAGAACGGATGGAGAAATGTGATCTGCAAAAGGGAAATGTAGAATATAAGTTAAGATCAAAGAATAGTGGGAAGATATTAGTAGATAAATGGAACATGAAGAGATTGATGTCGAGTGTCCTGATATAAACTGAAAGATGGACAGAGTAGGGAGTAAAGTGAAAAACAAAAAGGACTTCTATGAATATCTCGAGATTTAACCATATGATATTTTCGGTATTTCTTCTAGTATGTGGTGATACGTATGGTCTTATACCCTCCATAGTTTAACGATTTGTTGGAGTCTGCTATTTGACCTTCTCACAAAATGTTTTTTCTCCGACAGAATAACGTCGATGACGATAAAATTTTATCTTTTCAAGGAGGTTTATATCCATCCGGGCCGCTCTAATTATCAAAGTTATGATTTTGATGAAGAAATAATGAAAACATAATATTTTGATTTCCTATTGTATCGAATTGGCAAGAATTTGTAAAAAGGTGTTTTATGAAACTTTTTTTTGTGGAACTGATTGTAGCGCCTGTCATTCTATGGAGCGGAAAATGTGTGATGAATCATTGTAAATCGAGAAATAAGTTAAGACATAAGGCGACAATAATGAATACAGCAAATATTTGGTTAATTACAACTCTTTTTTTATTTGTCTGAAACTTTTGATATTCATTTCCAAAAAAAAACAAGCACAAAAATTCAAAAGGAAGCAAACGTGTATAAGAATAGCAACACATCAAGCAGGTAGTGTATAACATTGCACAGCCTTTCATAAACAGAGGAATGTCAATTGAATGTACAAAAACTCCACACATGTTACGTAACATTGAGTTGAATATCTGACAAGGACAGAAGAAACGCATGACGACATTTTATTTGATTTTGTATTCGGTTGTTTGTTTATCATCATCATTATACATATACATAGTAAGAGCGAGAGAGAAGAAGACGACGAGAGAAGTTTGAAAACAAGAGAGGAAAAGAAAACTTCATTACACAAATTTCGATCAAATACACTTTGATTGCATAAACAATGAACGTACAGTTCTGTATATTGTTATCTATATGTATGTATATCGAATGATGGTAAACAAAAAATATAAAGAACTCAGATCAAAAATATATAAGATAAAGTACAAAGCAAAGAGATCTGTCTTATGCATAACCACTTGGTTGCCAATGATTACTTTGTCCTGGATTATAATATTCCGTCCCGTTGTTCATTGGTGTCATTGCAGTTTTCACTTCTAAGAGAAAGAAAACGAAGATTGTCATCTATAGTTAGCATGATTCGATTTACCATCGAGACTGGGTGGTGGAGCATTGGTCTTTCGTAATAATAATCGAACATACAGACCACCATCACGAATTAATGATATAGCTTCATTATGTGTCATACCGTAAGTTGAACGACCATTGATTTCAATAATTTGATCTCCAGACTAGATTTTCAAAGAAATGGCTTATGAGCAAAGTACTATACATTCGCCTACCTTCATTCGACCATCTCGTGCAGCTGGACCATTTTCTGCTAATTTCAATATAAACAATGGAATTGAAAATTCACGTCCGCCACGAATACTAAAGCCAAAACTTGAGTTCGGATACGGCCGTTGAAGATCAACAGTGAAATAATCATCGGGCATTGACGACTGCAAATACACAAACGAGATTAGGCAAACAAACAAAAGATGTTCTTACTGATTGCAAAACACCATTGGCTCGTGATGGTGGACGACTTTGATTTCTTTATAATAATAAAAAAAAAAGAAACACACAAATCAGATTAGGAGTTTTTAACAAAACTCTTCTCACCTTTCAAGAATATTCAATGGATTATGTGAAAAGGCATTTCGAATCGTATGATTTCCATTCGTATTCGCATGGGTAATATTGGTTGCTGACATTGGATGGTGATTATAATGATTGCCGTTCGTTGTAACCATCGGTGAAGATGATGAAGGTCGAATTCCATTGGATAAATTATGATTCGACATCGATGTAAATGATTGAGTTGAAAAATCTTGTGTTCGTTCATCTATGAGTAACGATAGATTAGTGAAATTCGACTCAATCAAACGTTCTTACCATAAGGAAGAGGTGGACCGATTTTGAGTGTTATTGTTCGGCCTGATTCTTTGATTAAATTAACAACATCTGTATGTAACATGTGAGTTAAATCGACACCATTAACCGCCAGAATACGATCATTTATATGAAGTTGCCCGCATTGATCAGCTGGACTATTTGAAATGATTTTTCCTAAAAGTCGATGAAATATTTCAGTATGCTGTCAAACTCGATGATCAATCGCATTCATTGATTAACATAAATCAAACTGAAATCCATTCAGACTTCTGTCAATTTCATTCAAATAACAATGATCACGTCTTAGATGACACTAAAGAACACACTCAAGAAATCCTTGTCAATGAAAACCACTTCACACTCGACATGCATATCTAACCTATCCAGACTTTATGAATGACACTATTTTCGATCTGTTCAGATCGAGTCTCATCTGTTGAAAAGCAAATCGTAATCAAAGAATGTCTTCGTTATCTCATACGTACCAACAGTAGCACCGGCTTTATTCTGTGATGATATTATAACAAAGCCGAAACTTTGATTATCGTTCAGTTTTTGTAACGTAACATAACGTACGCCATTGTCATGAATAGATGGTGTTGCACGAAAGTCATTTGATGGATACGAATCAAGATCTGTTTGATTATATTGATCTATGAAAATCCAAACGAATACGTTAATTTGTAAAGGGTGTGTTTGGCTATGATTTCGTTCTTACTTGACAGATTGTTGTTGTTGTTTGGATACAGGTACCGTCGGACAATTAGACTAACTCGTTGGTTCTCTTTTGCTTGCTGCATAAGCTGGACAACACGCTCATGTGAAGCACGAATTGTTGAATGACCATCGATTTTGATGATTTCGTCACCTTTGCGAAGGCGACCATCGATGTAGGCGGGAGAGTTGGGCACAATTCGTCCGACACACACCTGCGACTTTTCTTCTTCGCCACCTACTATTCGAAGGCCAAAGCCGTCACTAGAATTCAACAGAGGAGAATAGTTCACGTATTTCTTCGACCTATTTTGCCGTACTTTGGACGTAAAAGTGTCAAATTAACAACTAATTCAAAGTATTGAGGATGAACCGATTGTAAAGATCGACTAGACAAAGCAGAAAATGTTTTTGATTCGAACGGTCAGTTAGCGTTTCTTACCTATTATGTAAAGTACTCGAAGAAAAATCGTTTGCTGTTGGTGTTTTACTTCGCTGTTTCGTTCCTAATAACGTATTTGCTCGATATGACGAAGTAACCGTGGCACCAAATTCTGGTCCTGGTGTTTTACTTCGTAGTAGAGGCGCGTTATTGCTTGTTGTCGACGTTGTTGTTCGTATGTCACGTGCACTGCGCGACCAAGCTGTTTGCCGATCAAATGTGTTCATCGTATTGTGTGTAAAGTCAGTATCGATAATCGGTGTCGATGTATCCGCACTATTCGGTAAGAGAAAACTCAAGTTATTGTCGTACGGATTGTTGTTATCAATTGTTGTCGAATGATGATTCGTATTTGTTACTGGTAATGGTGTTCGAGAACGTAATGGTAACGTATCGACTATTGGTGTTGAGCCGAATGGTGTTGGAGTTTTACTGCGAGGTTTGTCTGAAGAAAATGATTTAGGAAGATTAGAGTTGATGATCATTGTTCTTACCGTTCAATTTGACTGATGAGTATCGTGTATCAATTTGATCATTTTCCTAAGAAATGAAATACGATTCGTATAATTTATCAAACGATTACTTGTGAAGGCTATGGGTAGATTTGAGAAAGAAAAGAAGGGACGACAAAAAAAACGAAATGGTACACATCACCTTCCTTCTTTTTTTAATAAAACATACAGACAAGGAGAGAGAGAGAGAAAGCGAACGAAATATTCAATGTAACTATTCCATAATGTATTCGAGCCTTTCTTCTGTACAACAATCGTATTTAATCGATCATCTCGAACAAGTTAATGATGACAATAGAACATGCATATGAACAAATACACACATATGTAGACATGACTTGTCATTTGAACATGAAGGGTCGAGAGGAGAGAGAAAAGAAAATGATAAACGTGAGAAAATTAGTTGGACATGCAACGAAGAGGTTGGGATATACATATGCAGGTAGTCATTTACAATTCGATTCAATCACCTGATCTTTAATATTGCTTGTCAAAAATGAAACATGCTTGCCGCTGCTTATCGGCCGATTAGTTAACTATAGATAAAGTTTTAGCAAGTTTTTCTTTCGTCTTGTGTCTCTCACACATTCTCATAGCACTGGTTCTCTTACAAAACTGCTGACATACCTGGTTTGTTTTGTCAAAACGATTGGTGCCATTTAATAGATTATTATTATTGTTGTTATTAGTGTTATTATTATTATTGTTGTTGTTGTTGTTGTTATTGTTATTATTGACGTCCGGATCACCTTAATAAAAGAGAAAAGATTTGTTTTCATTGTCTTAATACTGAAACAATTGTGTGAAAAGAAGAAATTATTGTCTACCTTTCGTCGACGCTCGTCTTACACGAAATCTTAACATGTTATGGTATTATGCTAACTCATTCATATACAAAGTTGGTAATGTGTGTCTGTCTGTTTTGGTCTTGTAATAAAAATAATCATAGTAATATGTTCAGAATAGCTGAATGCTTTTCCATTCCTTAGGGAGAAAATATGCCAACAGCGTACCAATCAACCATCAGAAATCAGACAGACGACTCGAAATAACAATAATCATTCAGTCGTTCTCTTCTACGTTTTCTTTTACTTAGACCATTCTAGTTCAAAGCATTTCTAGCACCTAATCATAAAGTGATCAGATGAAATGAACTCGCGTTTGCTTTTTTTTCTGTTTCCTTCGTTCATCCTGTGCATTCAAGTACAAGATGCACAGAGCGTTGAGAAGAGAAAAAAAAACTCGCGATATGTACACATGCAGATGGAAGCGTGTATATCGGGCACGAACAATGCATTCTCATTGATTCTTTTATCAGATGAGAAAAAAAAGAAGAAAGAAAAGGTCAGATCGGAAAAAAAGCGTCTAGTGACAAATTCTCAACTATGAGCAGATGTTCACGTTGACATATAAACAGACATAAAAAAGAAAACGATGAAAATTTACCTGTTCTCCAACTGTACTAGACTATAAAATAATAATCATGAAAGAGCTCTTGTCGATGTGAGTAAAATATCAAATAAACCTCTAACACACACACACACCCTCACCCTCTCTCTCTGTTTCTCGTTTATATTCGATGCTTTAAACGAGAAGTACTATTAAAGAAAGAGAAATGGTCGTTTTTCTCTTCGCGCGTACTTCTCTGTCAACAAGCAAAATTTTATCGCACTTCAACTTGAATAGGAAAGAAGTAGTCCATATAAAGTGATGGTATTAGTGTTATGTTCTACTACAAATATCAAAATCGTTTCTTTCCTTCTTTTTTCTTCTGTCGTCTACTCAATGAAAATAGATTTTTCTTTTCTCATTGACGATCAAGGATGTATTGAAATAGAAGGAAAGAAAAACGTAATTCATGGTCAAGCAAGACTTCAAACTTCTTACCTCGTCGTATAACAAATAATGTTTCGATATCTCTTGAGCATTTCACAAGTACATCGACCACATCAGCATGTTGTTTACCAGTCAAATCTTGACCATTGATCGAGAGTAATAAATCATTTTCACAGAGATCTTGACAACGATGTTTGTCGACAATGGCTTTCACTCGTTGACCTAGTGGACTGTCTGCAACAGTAAAGCCGAAGCCATTGTCACCTTTACGGATTTTGATTGAATAAATTCGAGGAGAAAGGCTTTCAGGCTGATATTCGGTGTAACCGCCGTTGGGTAAATGATTTGTCGGAAGAGAATTATGCACGCCATTTAATGAGACGACATCAATTTGTGGATCATCAAAATTAACAACAAGTGGATAGCCCCGACAAACGGTTAAACGAATAACTTCATTTAATGATAATGATTGAAAGATGCGAACTACATCTGTATGACTAAAACCAAGTACATTTGTATCATTGACATAGACGAGAATGTCACCTAAACAAAGACGGTTCTTATCGATAATAATAAGAATATTCTATCAGTCTACCTCGACGAAGTTTGCCATCACGGGCTGCGGGTCCATCAGAAAGGATATCTTTAATTTGCAGAAAATGTTCTCCTTTTTCATTTCCACCAATGATGGTAAAGCCGAAGCCATTGGAACTCTTTTGTAATGAACACGAAATTAATTCACCTGATAACGGTGCAGATGACGGCGTGGTATTTTCATTCAGCATTGATCGTGATACTGATAAACAAGAAGAGAAAAAAAAAGGAACCGATGTTATATATTTTCCTATTCGTTTCTGCATGAAGAAATCAGATTTGCCTCGAAGGTATATCGACATCACACTCATTTCCTTGAATTGAGAATCGAGAGAGAAGAAACATGTCATTCTTACTTGTTGACGCAGGATTTTCACCATTAGTTTGATGGAAGACTTGATCATTGGGACTATGACCATTAAAAAATTCCGGATCATTGTTGGGGAATTGATAATGCATACCTTAAATAGCGGAAGACAAAAAAAAGGCAATATGAGTTGTAAGAGCACTTCTTTCTTTCTCCTTTTTCTTTACCGTTACTATCAATTCCATTATCAGTTGTAAGCTGTTGTTGAAACATTTCATTCGCTGAATTACTACGTCGTAAAAGATTAGGATTTGATGTTGACGAAAGGTATTGATGTTGCCCGTTGGTTAAAATCGATTCCTTTGGTGGTCGAGGAGTTCCATAGTAATGTCCTATCGAATCAAAGAAACATGTTAATGATTAGAGAACGAAAGAGAATTTCTTCTTCATCTTCCAGTTGACAAACGCGATAAAAAAAAAGAAAAAGATTGCTGCCATATTCTTACCTTTATAGACACCACTTTCAAGTAGATTACCACTTTTTTCTAGTGCACGAAAGTCTTTCGTATTCAAAAATGTATAATCTTGACCATTGATTTCACCTGGTCGCGGTGGACGAGTCGTGCCTAACGAGAAGAAGGTCGTTTTTGCATATATGGATTGCGAAGTATGGCACTTACAAGGAACTGTTCTCATGTAAAGATTGTCACGAATCGTCTGTTGAAGATCATGATCGATGGAACCTTTTTGGAAGCGTGCATCGAGAAATTGACGAAGATCTTTGGTCAAACCTGCATTAAAACAAACAAAATATAATCAATTATGATATATGCATAAAAAGAATTGAAATGAAACGCGAAGAACTGTAAATTGACCTTGTAGTTCGTCAAATATAGGATTAGCATTTGCATTTGCATTTGTAGATCCTAGTATTGGAGATATTAATGATAAATTATCATACGATGAATGAATCATGATATCAGCATTTGTCAACATTGTTTTATGCGAGTCATCAGCAGAAACAAATATGTATCGAGACGTTTATATTACTGATGAGCCTGTACAATATCAGCTCACTTAGTTTAGCTCAATATGTGTATATGTAAGGATGTATGTGTGTACATTGGACGAGAATTGCAATATCATAAGATGACGTAACAAAATGCAATCGTGTGACGATGTTATCGAGAAAAAGCGAGTAGGAAAGGCGAGAAGAAAAAAAAACGAGAGACGGCTCGAAAAAAAGAGGCCAAGATACAGAGAATAAGGATATGCTTAATATAATAGCATGTAGAGAACATTAGTTAACTATTGTTCTATCAACGATCTATTTACATGGTCAGGCGTCGACATTCCATTATTAGGCCTGTACGACTAATACGATAGACAACATCGTGCAGACTCAAGTCTAGCAACATGACGTTGGCGACTCTTCTCTGAACACCATACAACAAACTCAAATGTAAACAACTATCATTCAGCAAGACAATCTGGTATATCTTACTCAAAAGTATTACCAGCTTCGACCCATACTCTCGACAGAAGTTCTACTCGAGTATTCTTCCACTTATTTGAATAGGATAAGACTAAAAACTGAAATCTTTCGCGTAATATTTCACGATTACACAACCATTACAAGTACGATTCTTGATGACTTTCTTTGCTTTGCTATTATTCTTAGTTCTATTCATAATTGATCGAATCATCTTCGAAAGACGTGATCAAGAGATAGAAAAGAAACAAATGTGCTTCTATCTGTTTCTGTCTCTCTTTCATTTCATCCCCAATCGATTACCGATTCCCCTCAATTGTCAATATTGTTCAACCGCTCATCTAACCTCAACCAACTGTTCGCTCTTTTCATGTTAGAGATATTCATGTAAATAGAAACACATTTGCGATCAAACTACCTTCATCCGCGTGTTGTTTGAGCATATTTATTGTCATTCAAAGTTGTATTTATCCGCTAAGAATTCAAATCGGATTACATGAATATATGCTGATTTGAATTTGCGAGAATAACTGAAACTGAAAGGAGAAAAATGCATCTAATGACCTTGTTGTCAAGTCACCTACCCGTGAAGGAGAAAGGATACTGATATATACCATGCATATGCACTACTCGTTATGACCTCTGCCCTCGAATTCTTTCTTTCTCTCATTTCTTTAATAGGAAGAAAATGAACGCCAATGTCAGTGCGTGCGCGTGTGTCTTTGTAACAAATATTTTCGATAAACAGACATGACATACTCATTCATCGCTAGACAATATCATTGATCACAATGAACGAAGATTATTGAGCGAAGCTAATGATTATTTTTCCATTAATATCAGAAACAAGGGAGGGAGAGAGAGAAAGAAACCCGAAGAAATGATTTCCATAAATGATGTTAAGGCATCCAAACTTAATGCAATTTTTTCCAGCATTACATAAATCGATGTCTACACACATACGCACATGTATCCACATACCCGATTTCACAGTTTTTAATTTGATTTGTTTGTTATTAATAGAAAGTGTTTCAATTAGTAATTGAACATCAGCTAGTGTGCATCCAGCAACTTTGTGTTGATCAATTTCAAGTACAATTTCATCGAAATCGATTTTGCCACCTTTGAGTATGACGAATGTCGAATGGTGATTTCTTAGTAATGATATCGATTCATTTAAATAAACAAATTGACCATTATCAGCTCCGCCGGAGAGATTTAATTTAATTGAATGGTGATTTTCATCTAATGATAAGATTGTTTCATGACAGGTTTGCGACCAGTGGCTGATGGGCGGTGGTGATGATAGGGCTAAATGAATAGGCGGTGAAATGTTAGTAATCGCTGGTTTAGGAAAGATTCGCGTTGGTGAAAGACGATTTTTCGTTGGATTGATTAATGAAGCCATTCGTTGACTTTCAAGTGTCGTTGTCTCGATTGTCAATGTTCGATTTTAATAGAGATATTTGGAATCTAAACAAAAAGTCGTGATATGTCATCATTAGGAAAAGGTTAAGAAGAATTCTTTCAATAATTAGTTATTAACTTACATAAGACGATATCAATGTTGAAATTGTTGTTAATGTCACTAGTTAACATCTAAAATGACAATCGAGACATTAACTTTTTCCTTTTTCTTCATCTATTCATTCGTAAGTAAACAATCCACGTAAAAAAAACCGAAAGAAATGCCACCAATATTATGAGCAAGGCAAACGTTGTATAAAAGTGAAGTGCGAATCTATATTGATAGATTCTTTTGCCTTGACACTAGCCATTGCCGAGAATATGATTACGTTGTGATTACCAAATGTGTACACGCTTATGACGAGAGAGAAAAATACGGGCAGAGGTAGAGCGTATATGGATACAATTATAGATAGATGATGGATATGTCATACACTAGCATCGATCAACGAGAAGAACGCTAGTGCTCACTTCTTGTTCTCAGATCTCATCTGACTTTTTTCCTTCCTATAACATGTTTCTCCTTCATCGTCTCTCATTTTTTTTTCTTTCATACGCAAATCATCTTTATACTATATCGACCACCGATCGATTGATAAGCGTCTCAAAATCAAGCTTCAAACAGCTGTTTTCATTTTGAAATCGGATCATTCTTCATCAAAAAGATGCACATAACTTCTCCATCTTACCCCTGTTTCTTGTTCTCTCACACTTCTCAGTTATGTACGACATCGTTGCTGTTGGCAGCAACGTTCGATGTTGATGCCGTTCGACACATAGACAAGTGTAATGATGTTAACACATCAGCACTTACTCTCTTTCCCTTGCGCGCCTGTACACGCAACAATTCTTGATGATGATGATAATAATGATGTCTACTTTCTCTTCTCGTGCATGAATTTTCTTCTTTCCTCTCTTTTGCTTCTCAAGAGAGGGACAAAGGATGTACTTCTAATGTCAATCTAACGAATCTTAACGGAATAAAAAGAAAACTAACACAAATTGAAGAAAGTGGCAGACGATGAGAAGAAGGAGACGAAGAAGAAAGTGTCTTTTTTGATCGTTTTTCGGCCAAAACAAATACGAAATGTAGTTGGATTCTTTCTTCTTTTTCGATATCGTCTTAAATGTCACATCGATCACTGTTCTCTTAGTTGAAACTCTAAAAGAAAGAGAAATTCGATTTAGTAAATGGCCAGTCGATGTCTACGTATGTCTATTGAGTTGTTGTTCAATCGCCAAAACAAATAAGAGGGATTTAGAATCGATAAGCATCGACACAACAAACGAACGAAAAGTAACCGAAAGAGAGATTAGAAGTTCTGTGTTGTTTCTCTCTTATCACATCGGTTAGATAAAGAAGAGGAGAAAAAAAAACGCGAATAGAACGAAATAGATCGATCATTATTCATTTTTTGGTGTGTTACTGGTTTCCGATCTTCGAGCTTGTTGGCGTTCTTCAGGACGCGTCGATGAAAACGAATAGTTTTTGTACGTGTGAGTGTGTTCTTCGCACGCTCGTTCTATTTTATATATGCATGGATATGAACGAAACATGAATATGTATATCAGACATCGAGAGAAGGAAAGGAAACAGGTTATATATATATCGAAATGAGAAAGAATTTCAAATGGATATATATGGCGTATTTGTGCGACACCACTGTTACAGAAAAACATTTTCATAAATAGCTCATTCAAACGAGTACAAGAGAGAGAGAGAGGGCAAAATACGCTAAGAAAAATAAAATCAGTATTACTGCGAAAACTAAAGCAACAAAAAGTGCAGTTCAATGTTGCAAATGTCTAGTTCTGGAAGACCAAGTGTCTGAGAAGTGGTTTTAAGAATCGATCAGAGAGACTAATCTCAATGCATTAGTTAAGCAGACGTTATTTCATAATAGTTGCCCGTGTAAGGATCGTAAAAGCATCTAAGTATTTCATCGAAACATAACTGAACTTGTTCCCCATCCATGTTCGATGAAATTGATTCCAAATCATCGAGTGAACCGTGTTTTTTCATTGTAGCTGTGGGATTGAGTCGGAATGTATATGTTTTATCGTTACTACTTCCTGTGCCCATTGTACTATTATTTTCTGCTACGATGGACGCCATCAATGGCGGAATCTGTGCATTGGCACTCGAAAGCATTTCGTAGCGATAGTTTTGCGAGAATCGCGAACGTGCTGCGAGGTCCTCGGCAGGTTTCAAGGTGCGAGGCGATAGTTTGAATGTTGCTGTATCGAAGGAGCTATTTGCAACGTATTCGTATTTTTTCGGATCAAAACTTTTGTGTTGGTGTCGGGGAGATGTGCCGCCATTGGCTGCGTTCGGTATCCATTCGTCTAATGATTGCATATTAGCAAGTATAGCAGCTATTTGCTTCGAATCAGCAATTTCCGCTTGATCGAAACCGTAGAATGGATCATTAGGGTACGAGTCTGGTGTTGAAGATGCTAAAAAGAAGAAAACAATTACTCGATTGTCTTTTGTCAAAAAAGTAATCGTCTATATTTACTTTGATTATTTGTCGGATGGTGAAGGTCATCGATTAATTTCTTATCTTGCTGAAGAACATCATTTGAGATTTTCTCCTGTTTGTCTGGGGACGAATTCGGTTGTTGTCTCGGTGATAGGACGGGTGGCGTGGACGAGGGAGGTACACGGCGAAAGAGTAAAATGATCCGTCGTTTCTGTACGGCTTTAGGAACTTTGGATCGTTCTTGTTCTTTCAGTAGAGCATTTAATGAAGTCTTTTGTTGTTCATCGCGTTTGATTGATTGATTTAGTGGTAGTGGTGGAATGAGATTATCGTCATGTAAACGTGGTGTTGCTGATTCATTTGCTGATAATGGCTTTTGTTGATTGAGAATTGAACGTGGTGAATTCTGACGAGAATTTTCGTCGGGAGCGGATGAGACACGTTGACGCAAACGTTTATCGCGAAGATATTTCATATTTTGGATTGACTGTCTCTGGAGTTCACGTGGAGGATTACTGAACGTGTAAGGTTGCTTCTCAATTGTATTTTGTAGAGCGAATTTCTTAACAGGAAGTGAGGGTGATGAAACAACGGGTGAAGACGTTTGCGATGGGCTAATTGCATTTGTTGACAATGATTCTCGGATGGGTGGAATAGGTGGACGAACGGTTTTTGCGGAATTGTTTGTCATGCTTGGGAGAATCGAATTAGTAATTGATGATTTTCGAGGATGCTGTCGATTAAAAGATCGTGATGAGTGAGCGCTTCGATAAGCAGCTGTTGACATATCTTCAATCGAATAGTGATTTAATTGACATGATTAATCTGCAAAATAGCGAAAAACAAATACGATTTTTTATTGATTATTTATTTCTCCATATGTTTCAAGTAAATAAATTGAGAATGAAATATGCTGAATTGCCAGAAGTAGACTCCTTTTCTTTTTCTTCTCCTTCTGCTCTCCTTCGCCAGCGCAGATACACGTCAGAGCATGATGGTCCCTAGCTTTTTTTTCTCTTTCTATTCCTTCAAGATGCATTTTGAAAAAAGTCTTTGTAACTTACAGAATTGAATAAAATTCCTCTTTTTTTTTTGTATTTCTTGTTTCTTTATGCACTCGACTGATCGGATCGATCAATCGATTTTTTCCTTTTCTTCTTCTTCTGCTCTTTATTCTCAATTAAACACTTTTTATTGGCTGTACAGTCAGTTCAAATCACAATTCAGTCGTTCAATACACATCTGAGACATCTATCGTGAATTTGACATTTCTTACTTGTACTGTAACAATTGAAAATTGTGGTTAAAACTGACGGATGCATTTATACAAGAAAAATAATTTCGACATATGCAAACTTGCTTATGAAATCTCCTTACAACAATTGCATAAGAATTTCACGAAGAGAAAATGCTTGACGAATAGAAGAAATTACAGACTGTAACAGTTTTCTACGTCAAGATTACTTCGAAAATAGTCTTGTTGATTGAAGAGCACTCGTCCGATAGAAGCGTGATTGACATCATCGATCGCGCAAAGTTCTTTGGCGTGTGAAATTAATTAGAATGATTTGAAAGGAAAAGAACACAACACTCATAGGCATATTTTAAAAGAAAATGAAAAATACTTTAAATAGTCGTGCATGTCATACACCTGGAATTGTGTAAACAGTCTAGATGCTGTTTTTTTTTCGTCGGGATCTTTCGAAAGATATGATTAGAATTTACTTTTATTGAAGAATTAATTTTACGCAAGGTACAACGATTAAAATCGATATACTAGACTACTGATTACATATGTTTTTCCCGGACTTGATGCGGAATATAATTCGATAGTAAACGGCGAATTAAGATTTTCTGCTCTTGATCATTCAAAAATGTGGAACGAGCTGCATTGAACACGCATTGCGTTAATTGTGCAGGTGATAACTTCAAATCTGAGAGTGCATGTTCGTTTTCATGTTCATTCGTTATCTGTAAAACCGATGGATCGTCACATGACAAAGAAAAATTCAAGCTATCACGAGCGAAATGATGAATCGGATGCCAGATCTCTTTTCTTGAGCGAACGTGCGAATGTAATTTGGTTTTTGTTTCGTGACCATTGATAACGAAGTGTTTCTCGCTCATTTCGCTATCTTGCGGAATGTATTTAGCGATGGCATTTGTTTGAATGGAAGACGTTAAACAACATTCTAGATGAATATCATGATGACGAACGAGATTATACACAGATGGATCGTCGATGATGGCATAACCGTGACCAATGCGTTCAGCGTGACAGAGTTCAATTGCTTCGCGAACAGATTCAGCTGAACCTGTTTCACCTGCATGGACTGTACGATGGATTCCCAATTGTTGAGCACGTTTAAATGCAGGTACATGGGGAGCTATTGGATAATTGTGCTCGTCACCAGCGATATCAATGCCAACTACACCTGCTGAACGATATTTTTCTGCTAAATCAACAACTTCCATTGACCTGTAGAGGAAATTTAATTAAAATAGTTTTCTTTGATTCATCGAGTGTGAATAGGTGTGTATGTTATCAAATACATCAATAGTATTTGAGATAAGTTATCAATGGAGGGAAAGTGAAACAGGTGTATCTCGAATTTCAAACGTACCATTCGGGATGTTGTCGTATACAACATAAAATCGTTCGAACGTCAACCGAAAACTCTTTGATTCCACGATGAAGACCTTTATTTATTGCCTGAACGACCTATGGAACCAAATAAGCAAAACGTCTCACTTTTTTTTTGTCTTTTCTATTCATCGAATTCGAACCTGCTCCGGTGTGAGTTTATCAGCAGTAAAATAATGTGGATTGTATCGTGTTTCGGTGTAGAGTACACCTTGAATTGCCTGATCTTCGACGAATTCGTATGCGACACGTTCGAGTGCGTCACTATCTCCCGCAACAATCGGTGTGAAGAAAGGAAATTTCTCGAGAAATTCAGCAAGCGATCGACACGCTGATTGAATACAAATGTATCTAGTATAGATAAAGATATTTTGTTCTAAGCGATAATACAAAACAAAAACAAGATCAGATTACGGCATGAAATTTTCTAACGTTGTTTCCATTCCATTTGGGAGCTGAATGCCTAGAAGAGAAAGGATTATTCTGCTTGATGAAAGAGAATCGAATAGATCTTCCACCTTTGTCTTGTGCCAATTCGAATAATGTTGTATGACGAAAAGATCCGTCGAGATGAATATGAAGCTGGATGGTCAAAGTCATAGCGTCAGTATATTAGTTTGATAGAGGGAAATCTTACCTCAACTAATGAAGCTGGAGCGTAGCTGAGTGAATAACGATGATGATAATGATGGAGATGATGGTCAGAATGTTCATCGTGAGCCAAAATATCGGAAACAGGTTGAATTAATGTTCCCGGTAATGCTTTATCTTCTTGATTCTCTGCTGTTGTTTGACTCATTTCTATTATGAATGAGTAGAACGAAATGGGCTTTGCTTTTGCTCTCGTTGATCGTTGCCTATGGTATGGAAGGAGAGTACAGAAAAATAAGAAAACAACACTTATAACTATATATATTCGTTTGACAATTCGTCAGATGGCGCCAATTAACATAACTAAATCTTTTTACAATTTATTTTCCAATTCTACCGCCTGCCATCAGGTGTAAAATGCGTTCATTTGTCAGAAAGAAAAAAAAACTTGCTAGCAGCTTGCTCGGTATAGATGGAGTTAGTTGTAAAGAATTTCATAAGAATAACGAAAAAAGCCCAAATAAATAAATAAATAAGTAGACGGAAATTTCCGACTTATCCAAAACCTGATGTTAGACTTTCAAGTTTCATTCTAGATCAGAATATTTATTCAAAGTAATCTGAAAAGGGCTCACAACTCATGATGATTCTACACAATGAGTTGAGATTACACAATTAGATGAGTACACTCAAACGCAGTTTAGAAGCTGATGAAAATTCGGCAGTTACTAACGGGCACGATGAACAAGCAGCTATTGAAAATGGTTCACCTGACTGTAAAAGATCTCGGCATTCGTCGTCACATTCAGAAAACGAAGATGATACTCAAATAATTGACGAAGACAATGAGCTAACTAACGGTAATATTCAATATGCAGGTCATACAAAAAAAGAACCGCTGTTCTCTAGACTATTCAGCAAGTCAGTCGGAGACCGACGATGAAACACCAGTGACAAGCATTCAAGAAAATACATCACAATACTCCGTAGTTCATGTTGACTTCGACAATGGCGAAAATGATAGTAAATCAAAGACATTTTATCTCAAACACTTTCCCAATCTTTACTCATTTTCCTTTCTATAGTCTTTCGATATGATGGTACTATTCCTTTTCATATCTACTTTCCCTCGCGAGGACGCAGTACTCAACTCTCCAGTGATCCAGCAATAATTCGAACATTACCATGGACATTAGTCGCAAAAATCAAAGCACCTGATGATACATCTTCAAAAGATAATGCTGGAGTGTTTTCACTTTTCCTAAAATGTACAGTAGATAAAGATATTCAAAGCTGGTCGATACATGCTGAAGCTCAATTCATTCTTCTTCATCCAACAAATCCGGAAAAAAACTACACTGACAGTAATGTATTTTTACAAAGCAAATAACCGAGGAACATGTATTCTATACGTTTCTCTTTATCGTAGAAACCAGCCATGTGTTTAATTCACGGGCATATGATTGGGGTTATCCGCATTTCAAAACTTTAAAAGTAAAGTTCTCAAATTGCTCTCTTTTACTTTCTTTACGAACTCACTTGCATACCTTAGGAAATTTATAGTGACTTTGTACATGCAGAAGATAAGACGATTCGAATAATTGTGAAAATCCACGCTGATCCTCCACGAAACATCGAGTAAATCTTCCGAAACTGTCATATTCATGACTAACTCGATTCTGTCTAGATGGAATTCAAAAGAGCAGACTGATTTCGTTGGGTTAAGAAATATCGCCGCAACTTGTTACATAAATTCATTTTTGCAAACAATATTCTTTACCAAAAAGTTGCGCAAGGTCTGACATACCACTTAGTTTCCATCTCTCGATCAATTTTTATGACGTGCTCCTTAGGCGGTATATGCACTACCAACAGATCACGATGACCAATCACATAGCATTCCACTGGCTTTGCAAAAGCTCTTCTATGACTTACAGTTTTCAGATCGTGCAGTCAGTACTAGACGATTAACACAGTCATTTGGGTATGAATCACAAAATGATCTCGTTTCGTTTCATTATATATGCCGTATTCTAGATGGGATAAGCCTGATGAATTTTATCAGCATGATATTCAAGAATTCTGTCGAGTGGTAAGATGAAACTATACATTGACTTTGACAGATCTCTTCTTTTCTAGTTACTCGATAAACTCGAATGTAAAATGGAAGGTACGACGACAGAAGGTATCATTCCATCACTATTCCAAGGGCAGTACGTGGTAAGTGCGCCATCTTCTTTGAAATAAATTTCAAATGAATGTATTTTCAAGCAATATGTTCGATGCACAAATGTCGAACATGAATCTCGTGTAAAACAAACATTTTACGATGTTCCATTACAAGTCCGGAACAATGCGAATAGTACGTTCGAAGAAATTGACATACAATGAAGTTTACATGAATGCCTTTCTGTTAGTTACGGAAAGTTTTCGCAATTTTTGCAAAAGCGAGATCCTAACCGGCGAGAACCTATACGATGCTGGTAGTGTCCATGGTCTGCAGGTTTGCTGATTAGCAATTCTAGTTTGCTTTAAAATGTCTTTGCGTTGAATTTTGTAGGAAGCAGAAAAAGGTGTGAAGTTTCAAAAATTTCCACCTGTTCTTTGCTTACATCTACTACGATTTGAGTATGATTACAATCTTTCGCAAAATCGCAAAATAAATGACAGATACTCCTTTGATTATCAACTTGAACTGAGCGAATTCTTAGAGAAGCCGGATTGTTCATCATCATCATCATACACATTACTGTCCGTATTAGTGCATAGCGGTGATAATTCTAGTGGACATTATGTATCTTTTATCAATCCAGATCTCGATGGACAAGTGAGTAGCTTTGGAAGCGAAATGTAAACTGCATTCCAATTCGTCTTCTTTTCTCCAGTGGTTCAAGTTTGACGATGAGGTCGTTGGGCGTGTTGCATCAACCGACGCCATGGAAAGAAATTTTGGCTCCGAACTAGACGATTGTAATCGCATGTACAATAATACTTCAGCATATATGTTAGTTTACATTCGTGACGATTGTCAGAGTAAGAGTTGTCGATTCACAAATGAAAGTTATCGTACGATGGGGATTTTTTTGTAGAAGACATTCTGTGCGATATTAATCTAGAAGATATTCCGGAAAGTTTAGTTAAAAGATTTAATCATGATAAGTAAGTGACAGGCGTGTTTTTCACTCGAAGTCGAGTTTTATCTTTCTAGAAGGCCTGTTAAACGTCGTCAAATGACCAGTGATAATAGTGTCGTTGATATTCGTCTTATTTTCAATAATGATTTTTTCATTCAACCAAAATTTTGTTTAACAGAACTGATTCGCGAAAAGTACGTTAAAGTAATCAGTTCATCTCAAAACTCCTATTTATCGGAATTTTAGCTCGTTCGATTCGGCAATGGTTCGATATCCTTTGCGATACATAACAGCACAATGTTCCGAACTATTCGGTGTATTCGCACAACGATTAGCTTCGGAATTGGTATAAATAAGTCAAGATTTGCTCTTTAAATAAATCTCTCAATTGTATTTCAAGGGAGTCAATCTTGAACATGATATTCGACTATGGATTTTTCATACACACCAAGTTTACACGAATCATAATCAGTATCATTCGATGTTGCTATTCACTTCAGGTTTAACTTACTGTAATGACTATAATAAAAAGGTAAGATGTTTTTCTAATCGAATCCTTCGTGTTCACATATCGAGTTTCTCAGATGTTTGAAATATTTGGTTACGGTCCTCCAGAGAGAACAGTATTTTCTGTGTATGTTGAACAGAAACTGTTCATCAATCATGTTTATCAATTGTTACCGTTTAATAAAAATGGTGAGTGTCCGTTATGCCATATAATTCTCATTAATTCGGCTTCATTTAGAAGATATTTTATTATTTGTTCGTTTGTACAACTCACATGATGACACTCTAATGTTCATCGGTCATTTTCTATTTCCTCAAGAACAAATCTTTCGTAAGAAAGAAAAAGTGTGTTGATTTCACTCTACTTAATCTTTGAATTTGCACAGAGAAATGCTTAAATGACATTGCACTTCGTCTTCAAATATCACCGTCTTCTTCATCAACATTCATTGTTCACCAAAGTGTACCAAAACATAGTCATACTCATCAGTACGAGTCAATCGATGCCGCAAATTTCCAACTGTCGCTTTCTCAAGCACTTCGTCCATGTTTATCTGGTGCTTCCATCATTGTTCAGATCGTTGACATGAAATCAACAGATAACGAAGAGTGTCCAACAACCGCTGATGATTATCTTCGGTATGAAACGAAAAGAGGGTGGGTGATAAAAGAAAAATGCTTTGTTTTTCCAGGAATCTTCTACATCGTCAAGAATTTGATGTGTACAATTGTGACAACACTCAAAACGAATGTCTGTTTAAACTATACCTACCAATGAATACATCAATTAAAAATGCTATTCGAGCGATCGCCGAACGAATTGAATATCCTGAACAGCAAATAGTCATTCAGAAATGCTCCAAGTAATGTCTCTACTCAGACAACAAGTTCCATGATTTCGAGAAATACTTTAGTGCAACGTCGATAACTAGCAATGCATCTCTAACAATAACATTTCATATGTCTTGTGGGCAAATATTGCGAGATCTTTATGCAAATATTCGCAATAATCTGACCTCGCCACGCAAACTCTATTTTAAACGAGTAAAGCCATGATGATTAATCTCGAATGGAGATTTTCCATCGATTGTTTTAGTTACCTTTTCCTTACACTGAGCTTGAACATCGTCGTCTGTTTCGATTCTACGCGACAGATTCTCGAAGGAAGGACAGTCAACATGAAGCGCAATTCTTCGTGAAGAAATCTTCAACTGTAGCCGGTTTTCTTGCAGAAATCAAACAATGGATGCGGATGCTTTGTTCAGAAAATGGTAGTCAACAACTAAGGTAAGAGATTCTGTTCCTGCTAGATGAGACAGTTGTTTTCATGATCGAACTTTTAGAATGATCGAATTAGTTGTAAGTAATCAAAACAATGTGCCTTTTCAACTTCGAATTTGTTCCGATGAATCATCCATGAATAATTACATCAATTGTATTAATCATTACTATCACGTGGAAGAGGTGAATGCGAATGATATCGATAAGAGTAAAGATTCGGTATCGATACCTGTCGCTTCGTATACGAAAGTAAGCAGTTTTTCTTTGGAAGAATCGTCGTTTGAAAGGAATTCGTTTAGGTAAATTCGATTCAAATTGATTTTCAAAAAATCTTTCCATTTTTTCTCAATGTGATACAAGTAAGATTGGAACATAGCATGGAACATGTGTGTTTTGAATATCGCCGTAGGATGAATCATTTGATGAAGTTAAACGCCGTTTACAAGCCAGATTCGGTCTTTCGACTCGTGAATTTGACAAAGTTTGTTCGATTCTTGCATAATCCCGGTATGAATCCTTTCTATTCTAGTATCGATTTTCGATTTTTAATGGAAATAAGTCGATGACTCGGTGCGATGACAACACGTTACGCATTAATCTCAATGACTTGAAATTATTTCAAAGTACATTTCATATTCGAAAAGAAACTTTTCTGCTGATCGTTTCGATGTTTAGATACATGTTGGTTAGGGTTGGAAGCACCATCGATATCGAATGGTCGCAAGACGCGGAAATCATTCTTTTCCGAAAAACCTATTCGGATCCACTAGTCGTATTCAATCCGGTTTTGATTTAGTAAATAACACTTTATTTTCTGTTAAAAAAATCTTTTTCAAGCGTGTATTCTCGACAAATGAATAGATCAATTCACTTTTTTGATTCTCTCTTTGCTTCTTCCAACGTGTTTTTCTTGACGTTCTGTCAATGAATTTTGGATTGAAATTCGAAATGCATTCGCTTATATTTTTCCTATCTTGATGTATACGTACGATTTGCTTCTATTTTTATTGTTAATATATATATATATATAATGAGCACAATACTTTTATTAATAGATAAGAGATGGAAACATGAAAGACATGTTGTAAAATAGTTAAACTGGGGATGTTTGTTGACCGTGTCGGGACCATGGCTTATTTGTATCTAAGATATGTGCCATGGAGAGGAGGGCATCGGATTGATCACTGTATGGTTCTACAGATGTAGTTGTTGGTGGTTGATTCGAAGAAACGTCATCATTTATTGTATCCTCATCTTCTTCGTTGGGACCAAGGAGAAAATGGACGTGATTTTTACTTGGTACTCGTTTAAGGAATGGTTCATTTTCATCCATACTCGTCGGATCATTCTCCGTCGATATTGATGGTTCACATAGAACGATGGCAGGCGAAGAAATAATTCGTTTTTTCAATTTGGTTTCTTCCGTGACCGTCGGTTCACGTTGAACGATTTGATTACTGGAGTTGTTCTGATGGTGCTGCTGTTCGTTCGCTGCGTCCAACGATGAGAACGATTGTCGTACCAAACTGACGGACGAAAGTGTAGAGCGAATAGTATTTGCAGTCGCAGCTATCTGTCGAGCCACCGTTTGTGCTATACGACGCTTTCGTAGTGTAAAAACACTTTGTAAAACGACAAGAAGCGCGAGAATGATCGAATATTGTGTTGTTATGAAAAGAAGTCCATGCTTAGCATCTGTTCTTAGTTCAGCAAATTTTGCATAATCGTTAATAACATCTTGACAGAGTAGTAAATCGGGTACTTTTACCGATACGTTGGATTGATAGTATGATATACAAACACTGTATTTTTCATGATGGTTCAATGCTGTTAATGACAATGCATTGGAAAAGTGAGGATATGGATTCGTTGACGTGTTTTTAATGCTTAGTTTTTCCATTTTTAGAACAATTTCACGGTTTTTATGGTACGGTCGAATGATGAAAACGAAATATTGTAGCGAAGTGATGGATTTCAGTGGTCGAGTTGGCATCGAAGCCATCAATGCTAATAAACTATACTTTCGTTCATTCTTATCGGAGTAGATATTGTTTTCGACTAATGAACTTGGAATTGAATAGAGATCGAACGTTACGCGAATGGTGTCTTTATCGATAAATTCCCAATCTAACTCATAGTGTGGACCATGATGAAGTTCAGGAACGTCAATTACAGCTTGTTCTTCCTCTTGTTCCAATAGAGAATTTACAGAAATCTCATCTTTTATCAAATCAGTTTCCGCTTTGCTGTCGGAGGGGTCCTCGGACGATGCTTTCGACTTATCTTCTGGAGTACGGGGAATATTCGCATTGGAAACCTACAAAACAATGAACCGACACGATTAGTAGCTTGAAAGGATATTTGGCTTACTATTCCAACTGTTTTATTGGCATTACTATTGAGAACAACGGTAGACAACGTTGATGTTTTTGTCAGTTGATTTTGTGAAAAACTGATCTCAATTAATGAGGTGATTAATAAAATGAACAGCAATTGAATAACGAACATATTAATTTATTGTTTACTTCACTGAATTCCGTATTGTTGGAGGTTTAGAGGAAATCGCCTGATGAGAAAGAAGGAAGAAGCGGAGAAATATCTTAACATTCATAAAATGTGGCAAGGAAGGAGGAAAAAAAGCAGCGAGTAAAAGAAATGAGGCAAAGAGAATGTTCAATGAGTTAGTAGTACGAGACAGAACATAGAATTATTGCCAGAGACGCTTTGTTCTTTCTCTTTCAACCAATCATTAATGAATCAGCAGTAGTCGTCGAAAGAACATTGTCACAGGCATAGTGAGGAAAAGAAAAAAGTGCTCGTGAGTACGAACGAAAGAATAAGCAGACTACGCAAGAAAAAGCCAAATGAGGCCATCAGATGCAGAACATAGAAATAGAGAAAGCAGGAGAAAGAGAAAAAAAACTGATGTTAGTATGTATCTAGAAACATATGGTACGCTCTCGTGTGTTGCTCGGCAATAGTAATCGACTGTTCGAATTGCTGGAATGTGAAATCGATGAATAAACGAGCGTTGTTTACTCAGAACAAACCTTTCGTCGTCGCTTTGTAAACGAAAAAAAAAACCGTCACTATCAACAAGCGTTTAGATCGATGAATTTCTTTTTCGTTTAACAGTTTACTCATACTGTACGATTGCAAAAAGTGCATTTTGATCGACAGACATTCGTATGGTATCGCGAGAAAGAGAAAAAGAAGTGTCTAGTTTTTTTTCGACGATCATCGTCAATCGTGTCATTCTTTCTGATTTGTACGATCATTTATCATCTTGTTGATCTTTGCATTCTCAAGTTATGTATATTCATATCAATATCTAGCTATCTTGACAGATCTACGCTGATCAGACCATCGACATATAACTTCATTCACACGTCGAGGTGAAAAGAAACGCGGTGGACTTTGTCAAGTAGTCGTTTGAATGGAGAAACTTTTCACTATGATGTCGAAGTAAATTGCAATTAAACATGCATAAATCAGTCACAAATATATACGAGTCGATTTGGGCGTAGCATACACACTCGTTGAAGTGATGAAATTTATTATTGAAAATGCTATAGCAATGACTTTTTTTTGTGAGAAAAGGCAGAAGTGAAAAGTTAGATATGCAACACCATCATTGATGATTATTACAATCAGCATGCAGGAGAAAGAATCTGATTCTAGGTACGCATCTTTGTATTAAAAACGACGAAAATAATTTAGTTACATGTTTCTTTTTCCCAGCACGTTTACTTCGTTGTTACGTGCGAGTTTTAAAGCACATAAGAAAACATGATAAATTACTCATTGGGAATTATCCTGTATGATCACTGTGTGAGAGATAAGCCTATGGCACTTCTGAATGCCAACATGAAGAGCGTTTCCTGTGGTCAAAAAATGAAAAGATTTACACTTTTTATACTGAGAAAAATCATAAAGCTTTGTTTTCCATGCTGAACTTGATCAGAAATCCGTGCTGCATTCCTAATCAAACTTTCTAGCCTTTTATTATATGCTAGAACGCATTGTTTATAAGCATACAGCACATAAAATCTTCTGCGACATTGTCAAGTCAGGAGAGGAACTGTGTAAGTATAATTTACATCACAGTAGACATTTGTTATGCGTCTGAAGGCGACAGAAAGGAGAATGACGCACTGGATTTATTCTTTCCCATGTTCTGCAATGATTCATGATAAACGAACCTGGAGGGTTTAAGGTATACGCAGAAAACACGCAGTAAAAAATTGACGATATGGGAGAGCGCGACATATACCACCGCTCAACATTTCTTCCCATCTTGCTATTTTCAATTGTCGTAACAGAATATGTTGGAAGATAATCTTTCCTTGCCCATGTATATAAAGACTGCACAAAATCTCTCATCATAATAATCATTTAAGTTAATCTTAATCATTAGAATTCACAAAGCAACTCATAAAAAACCATGAACAGTCGTGTAAATTCGCCAATGGTGTTTCTTCAAAGACATTTGTCATATGAAGACCATCCATCACCAAAGCAACGCTTCTCACGATGGAATAGTTATGAACTTGAATTGAAGGCATTGATTAGTAATATCTTAGCAGACAAATTGATCATCTTTTGTCCGATACCAACAACTAAGGCGATTATATCGGATTTCCAAAGTTCGGTTCCGGATTTCTGCGATCAGTTCGAGTTAACAGCAAATCCACTAGCTGGATATTGCCGTGTCAAAACGGTTCGTTCTCAAATATGCAATTCCGACCGACGTGTACTAGCCGGAACGAAAAAAGGTGGAGTGTCACAAGCAATTGTTCTCGGACACGAAGGTATTGGCTTTATTGCTCAACTATCCAACACGCACACACGAAATGATTTACAAGTTGGTGATTTAGTTGTTCTTGGTCCACATTTCGTCGAAGCGAACGATCATTGTTTGAAAAATGGTGTACCAAATCTAAGCTGTGAAATGAAACATCTGGGAATACACATGAATGGTGTATTTGCAGATGAAATGGACTTTCCGGAATATACATTGAACAAAATTACAAACTCCAATGAAATTATCGAAAAAGCAACTAATCCAAGCGAATATTACGATCAAATGGTTTTCATTGAACCATTAGCTTGCGTTCAACGTGGGTATAAACTACTTCAAAAGCAACCATATTTCAACATAAATGCAATTGAAACGATTCTCATTCTTGGTACTGGTCCTATGGGTATTATTCATGCAGTGCACATTCAGAAGAAATATCCTCATATCAAAGTATCAATCACAGATATTGATTCAACACGACGAAATTTAGCGAAAAATCTACCGAACTTACTAGCAGATGTTGTTGAAATTGATGCACTCGGAGATAACATTCAGTTTGATATGATCGTTGTTGCCACAAGCAGTCGAGAAGCAAATGTTCACAGTGCGATCAAGTTCATTAAGCACAACGGTGTGATTCTATTATTCTCAGGCATAGATATGAAAAATGGAGATGTACGACCAGTGATCAATGGAATTGATATCGAAACTGTTCATCGATATGAACACAGTGTGCAGCTGATTAACTATGCACTCAATTTGGATGCGCAGATAACAAAATCCATGTATTTCATGGGAACATCTGGTTATGTTAAAGATGATTTTGAAACATCAATTCAAGAATTGCACGAAGATTTCATGCTCGGAAGTGAACTTTGTCTGTACAGACGAATAGCCACATCGGTTATCAACAAGCTCGATGGAAATGTTGTTCACGATCTAACAGGTGCATTTCGAGATATTACATTCGATATGCCGGCAATCATTCCATTGTTGAAATTATTCGATGAGAACGATGCAAATGATTCGGATGTCAATGTACACAATCATTTGAAGATACTCATCCGACATGAGAATTACTTATAACTAGGATCCTTTTTTCTTTTTTACAATTTACAAATTTTTTTAAAAATCACTTTCATTTTGAAGTTCAACTACCTAAATAAAGAAAGTTTTTAATATTACTTAATCATTGTTATTCAAATTGAAGAAAGCCGATACCGAGTCTGCCCTTCTCACGATCATTCTTTTTCTCTCATACATATTGCAAATATTCGATCAATATATAGGAATCAGATCGTTTTCAAGTTTGCTATACATGTCTCAATCAAAGTTGAGCACTTCATCAATATATAATAAATATGAATTGTTATAATGGCACAATAGACTAGTTCAAAGACAAGTAACATTATCATGATTTGATCTGTCGTAGATTTGACGAAGAGAAAAATCTGTGTGTGTGATTTAGTGACGATCATATGAGGGACAAAATCAGTATGAACAAATACCATCACATAATGCGACAAGAAAGTCATGAATAAGAACAATTTTCTCCCACATTTTGGAGCGACGCATATTTTCAATACGCGTCATGAAATAAATGGGAGAAGGCTAAATCTGGGAGTATAACAAAGAGTAAGAGAACTTCTTGGCAATGGGAGATTTTGTGCAATGGGGTGGGGGAAAACTATATTACGGAAAGAGAATATGATTAACATAACATGTATTCCATCCAATCAGAAGTCCAACTAGATGTCAGTTGTTGTGCAGAGAGTAGTTCTTTATAAAAGCTGTGCGAGCGTGAATCAAGACTAAAGATTTGTTTACTTCTACGGCTAGTACGTCGCGACTTTTTACCCAGAAGTTTTCTACTAAGCACAGTTATCATCAATGTCAGCTGCCATCAAACGTGAAGATTTAAAGTTAGTCGGTGCACAAATTTTTTTCCGTCATGGTGCCCGGACTCCTCTGAATATGCTTCCGAATCTTGATGAAGTCACATATGACAAAGAACTACATTTGGATCACTACCAACCAGCTACATGGGAAATCAAGACCATATTGAAAGATGACGAAAATACAGTTTCCGAACGAAAATTTATCGGCGAACACAATGTTCGAAAATTGAATGGCGGAGCTGCATTCTGTGGTCAATTGACAACTGTCGGCGAGCAACAACTTTATGAAGTTGGAAAGAAGATTCATCAGGATTTAATTGTCAAAGACAAACTATTGCCTGAAACTTACGATCCAAATTTGATTTACACTCGTTCAACTTACATTGATCGAACAATCCAATCAGCCCGGTGTTTTCTTGCTGGATTGTTCACTGATGATAATGGAAACATTCACGCGAATGGTCCATTTGAAATTCAAGTACATAGTTGGGTGAATGAGGTATTGTATCCTAATCCACGATTGTACCCTGATCTGGAAAAGAAATTAAAACCATCGAAACTACACGAATTGTTACATGATGAACATGAATTGAAAAAGGCGAGAAGAGAATTCTTGAAAAAGATCAATCTCTCCGAGTATGAACATGGCTTTGTTGAATTGCATGATGATATCAAATCAAGAGAAGGTGAGCGATATTCAGTCACACTTCATGAAATCCAAAACTATTTATTTTTTAGCGCATAACTTTCCAGTACCTGAAGATCTGAAGGAATTATCGAACAAGTTTGATGAATACTGTGGTATAGAGTATCTCTTGATGGGTACTCACGAAAACACCTCGTTAACAAAAGAATTATTTGTTAAGACAACAGTTGGCCTTATGCTTAATTTAGTCAAACAAAATTTCGATCGATTACACGAAGACTTATTATCTACTACCGATAAGAGCAAATCCTATTGCAAATTCTTTGTCTATGCCACGCATGATACATCGATAGCATCAATGAAAATCGCATTTGATCTGTTCGATAAAATCTGGCCCGAGTTTGCCAGTTACATTTTAATTAAATTATACCAATCGATTCATGATCCAACGAAAACATTCATTCAATTGATATTCAATGATGTAGTACAAACAATTCCGTGGACAAATGACAAGTTCTGTCCGTATAACATATTTATTGATCATTTGAAAGATCAAATCGATGATCGCCAAAATCCGTCAGTTAGTTTAACCCAGTAGATTGTGCAAGAGTCGTACTAAATCGTTTTATCTATTTTAAAAATAAAAATTGTGTTTCAGCAACGCATGAGAGTTTTACGTCAAGTTTCGCTTGTTCACGCAGGAATGGCGTTTCGGGAATATTCATGAAATGAACTATACTCTCGCATACGAGTGTACGAAATGTTTTCGAAGCATTATCATGCCGAATTTATTGTTGATAAAAAAAATCTTCTCGAATCAGAAAAACGATCACTCAATTGAAATCATCAACTAGGAATAAATGAAAGAATGTCAATTATAAAATCGCCTTCAATGGTTCATCAAGAGAATCAACGGCTGTTTCACCGCATAAGATACATTGCGAAGCGACAAGATTGTCCAATTCTTGCTGAACACTTTCCATATCACGTGACGGAGGAGCACTACCACTTGCTATAATGCTTTGCAAGTAATTCACTCGATCGATGTCCTTCTGTATCGTTGTTTTACCAGAAGTTTTACTCGGATTGGATTGGTTTATTGCTTCACTACCAGCGCCATTCAAGGATCGTTTGTCCTTTCGTTCCATTATACGTCGAACGTAGCCAAACAAACAATCACCGTGAAAATAATGTCCACATGCGAATATATAGAAAATAGATTGGATCATCAGAGGTTGACTGCATAGTGAACAGATTTCATTGGAATCAATCGTTGCTACGCATCGTGTACGATATTTTGCAAGATCATCGCGGATTTCATCGATGGATTTTGATGCATCGTTCATTTCATTTCGAAGGAATGTTAAACGCTCGTTGTAATGGTCTAGGGAATTAATAATCGGTTTTTTGAATTGATCAATGGTTTCGAAATCTGCGAATAGAGGAAGCACATCTTCGATTTTGAGCAATTCGTTGCCACAGTCTTCGAGAATTTGCATAACTTCATTGAGATCATGACCTTGGGTGATAACTGAGTTGGCTAAAGAGATCATTTACTGTTATATAGATGACTTCGTCCGAAGTGAATATTTACCGATTTTAAGCCATAGTTTCTTTGTTCGTTCGTCATTGATGGGCGCAGTCGATGCGCACTCTTCAGCTAGTTTCACATCCACCTTCAAGAAAACGTTGTATCAAGATCAACAACTGTATTGCACCTAATGATCTTTACCTGTAGAGCAGTATCAACTGCTTCTTCATACATGTTCAACAAACGATAGAGAAAGACACTTTCTTCTTTAAGATCGTTATCAATGCAAAGACGCAAAGCGTATCTTGGATCATAAGTGATCGCCAATGGGTCCTAAAGACAGTCAACGAATATCATATCGAACATGCTCAAGCGTTTTGTATTTACTGCAGTTTGACCTTCTAGATAGAGCATGATTTTACTTGGATTGAATTTGATGTATTCCGATAGAAGATAGTTATGAATAGACTTCTCCGTACAATTTCTTGAGCGACAGAATTCGAGGAACTTCAAGACTTCTTGACCCTGTAAACGAAAGAATTTGAGATATCGATTGACGTTCATCCGATCGTTACTTTTGGAAATGCTCGTGAATATGCGATCATTGCTGGTAATAATTCCTTTGGTTCAAAATGATCATTGTATTTTTTCTGCCAAACTGTAATGAGTTGTTCTGGTAGTTTTTCAATTAATGTCGGAGAATATTTGTACAGAAGTTGATAATTATTCTGGTGAAAAACAAAATAGATTGTCAATTTTTGTTGAGAAAAGAGAAAAACTAGTGTTTACCAATGGTTCGAGTGTGTCCAATGCTTTTTTATAATCCTCGCGTTCGAGATAGAGTAGAATGACTCGTTCGTGATCTTGAACGTGTTCAGCAAATAGAATTAGATCGTCTAAATCACCATGGCTTGTAAGAAGATCATACATAGCTAAGCGATGCTGTCTTAGACACGGTTGAATTTCTCGTTTACTCAGAAAATTTCGAAATTTTCGACGAATTTCATCGAATTTGTCCTTACGACCCTTTTCGTCTAGAATTTCTTCGTTTGGTTGAAGACTTGACGAGGCAGTTGTAGATGTTGCCTTGCGTCGATTCGTTGTTGTCGAATACGTTTGACGTAATTCATCAAGTTCATTCAGGAACAAATCAGTTAACCATAGCGTTAAGATAGTTATTTGTGTGCTATCCTATACGAGAACGAATTGTAATTGTCAATCGAACTCACCGTTGTGACTTACCGCAGATGCTTGGAGGTTTAGTAGAACAGCTTGCAGGTACTCTCGAAGTGGCTCTTTATCCCTCAATGCGAAGAATTTCAATGTGACATCTTCAAAAGATGTATCAGATGTAGCATAAATGTTAGCACAGGGTGTATATCTAGCGGGAAAAGACGAGAGAGAGAGTTATACATTGATATGGGTAAAAGACAGAAGTACTTTTTTTCGTTGAACAGATGATCGGCATGACGAGAATTGATTGAACGCTGTCTACGAGCAGTTTCTAAATCATCATCGGCCTGAAATTAATCAAAGTACTATTCATTACGCTACTAAAAATGAGAAAGAACGTACTATCGCACAAGTTTCATACGCTTTCTGAAAATCGTTCTTCTGCATGAAAACACGCCACACATCACGACGTTCATCTTTGATTGTGTAGCGAAGAACATGTTCATCGGTACACGCCCATAATTGATCACGGATGTGATCACGTGCGTAACAAACTGGTGTGCCACTCTAGAAAATGACAATTTCCGAAGAGATTCGAAAGAATAGACGCTTGAAATTTACTGCCATTGATCCGTCGATCATCACGATTTTCTCGTTGACTGTGCACACAGCTCGGATTTGATTTTCGTGTGGAAACATCATTAAACAATGAAATTCTGTTAATGCTACCGATTTCGGCGGTCTTTCTTCGTCGTTTTCATTGATAATTTTACCAATATGATAGTAGATGATTCGACTCCGTTCAAGAAACGACTTTTGTACATTATTCGGATCGATTTCAGTATAGAAAAGTCCAGCACCAGTTATCCATGCGAATTGTCTGTACAACAATTGTTTCGTTTCCGATTTTCGTTTAATAAATAGTTGAATTTCACTCTGAGCCGTACCACCGGGAAATTCGCGATATTTTAAATCAGGCAGTGAAGCATCGCGAAAGAACGAAAAAAATGAGGTGAAATAATCCGATTTACGCGATGGATCAATCTGCTGCTCGAAATAGTACAAAGCTCTTCAAAAGAATTCATTCAAAACTCATTCAGAAAGCCGATCAATATCGTTTACTTTTGCGTTGTGATAACGACAAATACATTGCTATTGTCTTCATATGCCGATTTGACATCGCAATAGATACCTGTTACTGAGTCAGCAATGGAATCCATAATCGATTTGAAACTCGGGTAGACTTCAGTCGAGAATAATAATTCACCATCGTTACGAATTAGTACTTCGAAAATACGTCCGTCTTGTCCGGCAAGAAGTGCCACGACATCATTTTGAGTTTGTATAAACCGATTACACCAAGTTACCGATGCGAGAACAAATGACGAGTTGGTTCCTAGTCGAATCGGCTTCTTGTTCAGTTTCAACGAATTCGGTGAAGAGACGAGCACATATATGTCACGTTTGTCACGCGTTGAGACAAGCACTATACGGCCAAAGGGATCGAGAAAGACTTTACTAATAACATCGGGTATCTGTGCATCTATTGAAGAAGAAATTCACTTAGGAAAATCATTTGTGGAATTAAACTATGTACCTTGATACGTCGAGGTGACTTTCGCGTCTTTTGGGACTTCATCGGGACATCGTCGTTGTAGCGTTTTCTCATTTAGATGTAAAATAAAAACATTATTTGACACCACCAAATGGTTAATCCTTGTATTTCTCTCAAACCTAAATATTTTGTCAGTTAGAATAAATTGTCATGGATCAAATTACCTCCAGGATAATTCACTCTTGATAAAAATCGGCTCGAGAACATCATCTACCTGTAAACTCTATGAACAAACAGAGAACTTATATTCTTCTAATGAAAAAGAAAAAACACCGAATATTTACAGATGCATCCGATCGAAATGTTTGCTGCGCTTGATACTCTAATTGTTGATCAAAATCCTTACTAAGCATATGGTTTTCTTTGTCTAAGAAAGAAAAATACAAATAATAGAATGACGTCCAACAAAACGGTCTCTAGGTGTCCTATGTTTATTATGAAATATCATCAAATTTAACAATACTGAAACAAACTTCTTATCAAAAAGACTGACAAAGAAAGAAAGGCAAGAGAACTAGTGCACTATCATCATCTTCGCTCTTCGAAAGTGCGTTTCATTCGTCCATTTGATGCTATTCTTTGCTGAGATCTAAATAACCACTTAGATTCGATAACTTCAACAAACGAATTACTCACATATCTCTAAACAATGACGAAACACGATGCGATGCAAATATTATAAATCCTAAGTATAAAACACATAGTACTCCATTCCCAATTCAATCAATTGCATTGATTTTTCGTTTCCTGCCTACCTAGTCCAAACAGCGCACATGTGAAACGATGTGAAGATGAGTCGGCTTTCTTAGCGCGATAGAACATGTAAGCACCGAGTGCTGCTGACGATGATATGCCGAGAGCATGACAAGAAAAGCAAGCAGATGGCTTGGGACTTTCGGAAGACACTCGGTTCTCAACCATCTCAGAGAGATATCAACCTCAGACAAGATTGCTTTCGATATCTGAAATGAATTTCACGATGTACAATTTAATCTTTATATGAAAATATTCAATCAAAGTGAATCGAACAACAACAAAAGAAAAAAAAAACAGTGATTTTTCCTCGAATGTTTAATAATAACAGAAGAAAAGATTATTCTTATTTTATACAGACAGATATAATGATGGAGGAGAGAGTGAAACGAAAGAAACAGTAAAAAAGAACTCTCATAGAGAGTAGGAAAGAAAATTATGGAATTGAAGTCATCTCAAATTAGGTGGACGATATAAATGAAAATTATGAATATTATCAAGATCTCGTGGCCAACGTTGTATCGTGATACAAAATGGCTCGATAGGATGCCAGAGTGTTGCTAGAGTTGTTCGCCGATTCGATGATAAAGTATTAGGGAGAAATAGAGCATTTCCAGTCGTAGTTGTTGTCGCCGTTGCTGCTGTTGTCACTGGATTATTGTTGTTGATTATTGTAGGTGCAACAATAGTTGTTGTTGTTGAATTGTCTGTCGTAGTGTTAAATTGTGGTAAGATGATAGAACGATTCGTTAGTGTTAATTGAAATTTCATTCGTTGACAATCACGCGAGAAGAATCTCACGGGATTATTCGGACACGTTTTGACCATATCATCAATGTGAACAATTTTATCATCGTATGAATATAAATTTAAATCGAGATAGGGAGAGATTGTGTGCGTTATGGTTCGTAGTGGTAATTGCATCAATAGGCGCTTTATTGAGTCGGAATCACCGGTGGATGTTGAATGATAATACATATGTTCGAACTGACGACGACCAGCAGGGGTAGAAAGGGGGAAAAATTCTAAATTTCGATAATTGATCAAACCATACGACGATGAATAACGAAAATCATCGTTGTATTTTTCGAATATTTGGGCTAATTCGACAGAGGATTCGTCATAGATATTGAGAATAGTCGATGTTTGAATGTTGTACACAACAAACAGAGCATAGTGCATTTGTTGTTCCTGCTGACGTTTATTTACGATGGACTCATGAGCAAATTTTAAGAGAATGATGTGATTGGTTAAAAATTGAACTTTGTAAAATTTACTTGCTAAGTAATCATTGAACGACTGAATAAAGCGCAATTGTTTGTTACTTTCTTTCGCACGTTTGTACAGGTACGTCAGTAGACGTTGCTTCAGTGTACATAGTTGTTTGTCGTTCATCGGTAGAACGATTTGATTTTGTACCAATGACCAGTAATCATGATGAGAATCAGCTATCACTCGATCGGTCGATGGTTCGATTCGAGTTAAGTTTATTGGCTGACCTGAATCTTGATCGCCATCATCATCGCCGTTGTCGTCATCATCATCGTCATCGTCATCGTCATCATCAGTTACTGCTGACATATCATGGTCATAATCTAAATAATTCAATGTTCTCTCGAAACAATTTGCCTGTCTCTCCTTACCTGATGTTCGCATATTCGTTGTTAAAGTTCTTCGATCCACTCGATTATCTCGCTGAAAGATTGAATGAGCTAAATTGGTTGGTAAATCGCTAGTATCTCCAATGAAATCTGTCTGTTGTTCATCATGTTGGATAATCACGCGAGTTGATGGTGGAGTGAATGGTCGATGAAGTTCTTCTCGAACGAACGAACTTCGTCGGCGCCTTGTTAGAGAGTCACTGTTCTGATTATCACTAAAATGATCGCGAAGACGTTTTCGCTGTTGACTACTAGGCTCGCTATCATCCCATTTGTCAAACATCGATGATGAACTGCGTTTGAAAGTTTTCTTATTCAATAAACGTTGCGGCATGTTTAACAAATGCTTAGGTAAACTATACTTGTAAAGAAATTCTTCTTCCGTTTGAGCAAATTTTCCTACAGTTAATAGTTCAATTAATTTACCGTTCTTTTCATCGATATGATATAAATGTAACTTTTGGTGTTGAATGGAGAGGATTGCTAATGTGGATTTGTAAATTGTTAAGCCAATTCGATCGAATTGAAATTCTAATTGCTGACATATGACACCGCGCGGGTAATCAATAAGAAAAATAAGGAAATGTTCAAAATAAAATCTCGATAATGGATTCAGATCTTCATTAGACTGTACCAATTGATTATAAGGTGGATGTTGCTGTTCATTGACTAATTTCGATGCACAAATGATAGCATATTGATCACGTGAAAATAAACAATAAATATGATTACGATTCAGCGAGTAACCTATCGACGAGGAACGAATTTGAATGGTGGAGTGATGCTGAAAAATTTGATTAAATGCATGATCACGTAGTTTTTCGCAATGAATCGTTTCCGAGGTGTTCTGGCGAATGTTATCACCATTTTCATCGAGTCTACTATAATTCGTCGACGGAGAACAATGCAACAGGTCCGAATAGATACGTTCAAAACCTAAACGAGGAAAACATTTTCAGATTAAGAGTCACACATGACCTTGAATGAGCGGGAGAGACAATCTATTTTTATCTGTAGGATAGCGCACGAGTTTAGATCAACGTTTCATTGCACTGAATGACCTTGAGGATAGTAGGAACTTCTTGTGTTTAGAATAAATCTTTTAAAGAAAGTTAATATCTTTTCATTTTAATAATCATCGAAGGAATTTCAAGAGATGATGTAATTACATCGACTTGAGAAAGATGAGAAAAGAAAATTTTCTATCTAGTCGGGTAATTCGGTACGAATCAATGACGTCTCTTCCATTCTCTCTTCGTACTTCGCTGTCTATCGTAACCAAAGCAATAGGAAAAAACATGTTTACCTTTATATCTATAGACGATTAACGACTCGAGATCATGTGAAAAAGCAAGTAGATATTGTCCGTTGGGTGAAAATCTTCTGATATATACAGCCTGTGGTACTGTACACATTAAAACTGAATAGGATGGATGAATAGCACGATAGACACTTGTACGTCGTGCGATTGCATGGTTGAGACGAGGTTTTCGATAGCCGAGTTCGCGATCGCGTAACCAACATACTAAATTGTGTTTCGGTATCGATCGATGAAGAAGGTTTTCATGCTCATCGTCTAATAACGTTCGTCGGCGGGACGAATGAAAGTAATTTCGGCGTTTCGATGAAGATGAAGCCATTCCGGCTGATTACATGTTGGGATCAGCTGAATAAGTGTCTTTCTCTCTTTGACAAACCTTGTCATACACAGCCATATGGGAAAAAAACTGAAGGACACTTTTCTATGCATTTTGTTGATAGACAGAGGACACTACCATCGACACGAAATCCTCTATTGCTTCTAGCGACATATAAAATGAACACTCGACGAAAATGTGTATATTTCCTATTCGAAATTTTCATTAAAACTCCGAATAAAATCGGTAAGTTGATTTTTCTGGAAAAATGCTCATGTTCACTAGAATCAATGCGAAACTGTATACAAAAAAAAGATGGTTGAAAAGTCAGCCGAAATTTTTGTTTTGTTTTCTTCCTCTTTTTGGCTTGCATCCATGTTTTGATTTGATATTCAGGATGACAAGACGGATGGATGTTTTCTTTTTTTTTCTTTTCGAAGACATTTTTTTCATTCTTTGATTCACTTTTTTTCTCTCTCTCTCTCTAGAATTAAATACAAACCCGTCAGTTGACGTGTCTGTTTTTTTCCGTGTGTGTGTGTGTGTACGTCGAATTCAACGTCCCGTTTCTTTCTTTTTTGGATTGATTGAACAGACATATGTGTTTGTGAATACGGCCAATCGCGCAGATTTATTTATTCTTTTAACTCTTGCTTTTTCGTTTGTCAAACTGCCAAGTCATCTTCTATTTATGAACGATGTCATCGACACGAACTGCACCGCGAACAACAATGACGAATAAATCAACACATCATACCAATGGTTCAGGCAATTCTTACGATATGAATGATCCAACTGTTACATCCGAGTACGTGGAGACGAATTGCTCTTTCAATAATATTAATCAAAGATGATCGATTTTGTTTAGTTTAGATGGTAAAAAAGAAGCGGAGAGAGAGAAAAAAGGAGTTTTTGATTAATATTTAGTTAAATGACAAGTTGTGATTTGCTAATCGCTCGTTTTAATTGAAGTCTTTCTTTAATACCTCACTAAATATTTCCATGTTTAGATTCGATTCGAACCTACAACGATCAGTTTTGCTGAAGAATGCTCCACAAGTATGTCTCACAATCGAAAAAGAAGATATTCTTCAGGCATTTTCTGTTCTAGTCTGATGGTGTGTATCGAAATCCTCGATTTATCCATGCAGTGACCACTGGTCTATTGGTATGCCGATTGTTTTTTTTGCGTCCAAACAAATTTGCTTATCATTCATTTCGATCTAGGGTCAACCAGTAGTTGTTCAAACTAACGAACCAGAACGTTACCATGGAATATTGGAAACAATTTCTCCGAACGGTGATATTGTTCTCACCGTATCTCATCGACTAGATAATAGCAATAATAGTGATATTATGGCATTGTCAACATCGCTCATAGATCTTTTTGATGCAGCTGATAGTTCAGTCCAATCATTCGAATTGCTAAGACGCACAGTTCTAGCACCGACTATCGTAGAAATCATTGGTATTGATATCGATCAATCTGGTAGTAATAAATGTAAGTGATGAACAAGCACAATTTCCTCATTCTCGCATGCGAATGTTTAGGTATGCTGGAAGAAACATCGAAAGTCTCGCAATTAGAAGACGATCGATTCAATCGTATGCAGCATTTCTATGATGCAGATGAGATTGATTCAACTACATTAGAATACTTAGATCTTGGTGATGATGGGAAAGTAAGACGAACAGAAAGAAGATTTTCACATAAACGAAATTTCGTTGTTTTCAAGGCTGGATATGATCCAGAAGACATGTTTCATACCAATCGAGAAAAATTCAATACAACAACTGATTTTGATGAGAGTAAATACACGTATGTATCTTGCCGTTCTCTTTTTTTTTTCTTCTGAGAAAATTTTGTTTACTTGTTCTTCATGCTGATTACACAATTATTTGTTTTTTCGCTTCTAAAGGAATGTACCTCTCCGGGCAATGACAGTTGAAGAGACTGCTGAAGTAGAGAGACAAGTTATGGAAATTGAACGTAGCAATCGCTACGAAGATGTTGATGAAGATGATGCAGGTAATGATCATTTCTTTGTTAAAAGAACCGTGCAAAACTGAGTTTGTTATTCTCAGGTGTCAAACGTCCATCAGAATACAATGCGAATCATAATAACGATGATGGAAATGGTAATCCGAAATCGAATCAACCATCACGTTCGCACATGAACGAACGTCGAACAGATTCTCGTTACGAAGGAGAATACAATACTAAGTGAGTAGCTTTTTTTGCTTGTCTCGATTCATATGTGGTTCATTTTTATTTCATGACAATTTTAGACGTGGCAATTGGCGTGACCAACGAGGTGGTGGAAATAATCGTCGTGGTGGACCGAATAATTTTTCAATGAATAATCCGAAACAAAATCAACGCTCTGAGCAAACACAATATACGACATCGCGTTCGTCGGAACAAGCACCAAATAGTCGTCAACAATCGTACAAATCAAGAAATAATCGCTTTAATGATAATCGTTCACCTCATGAAGGACGGGATTCACCATTACAAGTCGCCAATGATGAAACAGCACGAGGTCAAAGAATTCACAGTGGAAGTTTCTCTCAAGGACAAAATTCAGGACCAACAAGTCCATCAACGACACTTCCAACGCGTGGCGTTTATTCAGCGAATAATCGCTCATTAATCGGAAGAAACTCTCCCGCACCTTATACAGGTAGTTCATCGTCTCGAAATAATTCAACTGCAGCATCATCGCCACCGCCGGGACCACCTTCTTATCAATCGAATCAGACTGGCGGTGCAGGCAACTATCAGCAACAATCAAATAATAAGATGATCAAAAAGCAATCACGTAGTAAGAAAACAATAATTTCCTTGTGATTAAAAATGCTTCTTTCTTCTCCAGATGACCAACAATCAACAAATGATGATACTGATCAGCCGAAGCCGCAACGTAATCAACAACCGCAACCGCAACAGCAACAGCAACAACAGAATTCTTCGAATAATCAATCGAATGCAGTTCCGCTTAGTCGCCCATCACACTTACATACTCAACAAATGAAGCAACCAGCTCAACAACAACAACAACAGCAACCACAGCTACATCAAATACAACCGTCTTCGTCGAGTACTAATATTCCACCATCATTATCACTTCCAAATCAAGACGAACATTCATCTAGTCATGAAACAATTAATCCCAATCCATCGGATCCTAATCTGCACATGGCGAATGCACCTGTGTACACATCGCAAACATCGTATGTTCCAGTTTCTCTAGAAAAAAAAAACAGAATAAAACAATGTAAAGTCTAATATGATCTGTTTTCTTTTCTAATCATTATAGGGGGCCTGGTAATTCGAAAGCAAATTCTGGCCTTAATCCAGAAGCAGAGGAATTTGTTCCTATTGTCACGGGGGTATTTTTTTGTGATGTAAACTTATGTATCGATTGCTATTGGATCCTTTTCTTTTTAGAGAGACGATGATTCTCGACCTGAATCTCGTGGAGCATCATCAAACTTACCGATGCCACCATTTATATCTCACAGCAATTCTCAAGCTCTTCATCTCTTACAACAGCAACAACAAATTCCACAAAATCCAACTCAACAATCATCGATGATACCACCAACTCATCCTCAAAATGCTGCTGCTCTATATTCACCATACTATTCAGCACAGTATGCGAACATAGCACCATTTGTTGGCGCTACACCACAGCAAATGAATGCGGGAATGCTCGGTACATCGATGATGCCACCAACAGCACCACCACCACAACTACCTGGTAATGGGCCCAATCCAAATAATGTCGGTCCAGGTGGAATGACAACACCAAACAGTGGCTCTGGCCCTGGATACAAACTTAACAATAATCCAGTTCATGGTGGAAATACTGGAAATGGCGGCAACACAAATGTTGGACCAAAGAAAGGTAATTGCATCCAGGAAAGGAAGTGCTGAAAGAAGATCATGATTTGAATTGTTTCTCTAGCTGTCGTGTCTGTGCAAGGTAACGAACAATCGAATGTTCCCCAGCAACAACAAGCTCCTCAACAAATGATTTTTCCTGGTCCAGTTCGATACTACCAACAAGAATATCAGTCACAACGTATGACAGATTTTTCGAAAAAGTTTTCTGAATATCATTCTTCTTTTAATCTCAATAGAAACAACGCCATCATCGATGCAAATACCAATCTTTTACCCTATTAGCTCTTCCGGTATTATTCCAACTGCTGGTATTCCTCCACATCAAAATATAATGATTTCATCTGCTGGCTCGTCAGGCGGACCGACAACACCAGCTCCAGCTCCAATATACTATCAAGGACTCTATCCAGGTGTAGATCCACGTGTGTATGGAGTATATCCACCGCAAGCATCGGTCGGACCAAATAGCATGAATTCCAATTGGCCAATGGCGCGATCACCTCCACATCAGCAGCAGCAACAGCCAAATGAACAGCAACGTGGCTACGGCGGTGGTCAAAACATTGTCTCTCAAGCGCCTCCACCTTCAGGCGCGCCGAATCCTGGGGGAGGTGTCAATGTTGGTCGATCTGCATCGACGTCCGGTCCACCAGGTTCGAATGGTGCCAATGGTGGCGGCCCTCCAATGACACCGCAATATACTTTGAGTGGCAATATACCAGCATACGCCTATGGACCACCAGCCTGGTACTCGGCCCAAGCACCAGTCTCATCGCCTCAAACGAATATGGCTCCTCAAGTAGGTGCCTACGGCATGGTGTTCGATCCAACTCAACAAGGACTACCACAGCAAACTGCCTATGTACATCCCAATTCATACGACACTGCTTACTATCAACAAGCGCCTCAGCAACCACCTCAGCAAGGCCTAGACACAGTGCCACCGGGCAGTTACAATCGCTAAATGTTCACTTCTTTCGTTTCTCTCTCTCTGTTACTCTATATATGTACTTGTGAATGTGCTTTTCTTTTCTCTCGTTCGGGTTCTTCTTCAGTTTTTTTTCTTTATCTATTTCTCTTGTTGTGTGATACATACTTCTATTTAAACATTAAACTGTCTTTTCCCCCCCTCATTCATCATCGTTCTCTATGTTTGTTTGTCTATTTGTCTTAACCACTCTTCTCTTTTGGTTCGTTTCCGTTTTCCTTCTCTTGCCCCCTGTATGTTTCAGTTAAGTTGCATCTCTCATTCTCTTGATTCCTCATATTCACACAACAAAAAAATTCTAAGCCTACATAAACTGACAAAAAATGAGGCAAGTTTAATAAATTATTGTTCCCTATCTAACGGATTTTAGACAGCAGAGTTTCATAGTTATCTCCATGTCAACTTCGTCAATTCTTCGACCAGAGATTCTTGTCATTGGCAATCGATCGTATCGAATCAATCCGTCATCCTTGCCGAGTCTTGAATCGATTGAGACACAACAGCATGAAGTGTACCGAGAGGAAGATGAATCAGACTACCAAGTGAATAACGTTCTTGATACTAATAATAATGATGATGATGATGATGATGATGATGAACCAAGTTGTAAAACACAAGGGAAGAGAACGACAGTGGAATCCGAAAACAAGCCGCAAACTGGTACTGATCATAGCACTTGCCCATTTAATGTAATAAGGTTTCTAAGAAACTTTTCTTTTCTCTCGTAGCTCGCGAAAACAAACCATCTCGAGAAGAAGACGAAGACGACGATAATACTATCTACTATCTCGCGAAAGAGAATATGTACGTGTGTGGAATGGACATAGCTCCTGCATTCTACGGTGTTTTGATCGGCAAAAACGCTGAAGCGAAACAGAAACTAGAACAAGATACCAATACACAAATCTTCTTTCCTCGTCGAGACGAAACTGGCCTGGTAAAAATTCGTAGTCGTACCAAAGCTAATGTTCGAACGGCGCGCACACGTATCGAAATTGCCATCGATCGCAGTCGGCAAATGCAGCCATTCACACATTTTCTTTCTATCCCACTTTGCCAATCACCATCCGCTGGTCAATTCAAAGAAAAGTACGAAGAATTCAAGAAGAACGTCCTCGAACAATGTGCAGAAGAACGAGGCATTACTAATGAACTATTCCAACAAGCCTCAAAACTTCATTTAACTATAGGAACATTTGTTTTATTATCCAAATCGGAAATCAATTATGTCAAAGATACCTTAAATGAGTGTACAAAGATTCTTTTAAAACAATTCATGCCCACGGATAAAGAACGTTTTATTGTTCAAGTCAAAGGATTAGAATTCATGAATGACGATCCAAGTTTCGTGGATGTTCTCTATGCAAAACTTCAATTAGTTGATCAAGCGAATTCCAATCGTCTGCAGACGTTTCTCGATCGTCTGAACGAAGAATTGCAGAGCACAGGTTTAATGAAACAAAAGTTCGAACGTCTTAAACTTCACATTACACTGATGAATTCACTTCTACGACGAGACGATAGTGGCCTTTTGGAAGCGCAGAAAACTTCGCGCGGACGAGTGAAAAATCAAGAAAGAGAATCGTTCGATGCGAAGAAAATCTTACGTCTGTTTGGTCAATTCGATTTCGGGCAAATCGAATTGAACGAACTACAATTGAATATAATGCATCAACCAGATCGTCAAGCAGGTTATTACGGACGTGAAAGCAAAATCGTTTTAAAGCCAACTAAATAAATCCTAGTAAAAAGATTGTTTTGTTTTCTGCATCATATCGACAATGTATTTGAAAAGAAAACAATAGACAAACATAATCAAGATATAAAAACATAGAAGAAGAAAAGTAGAGAGATTTGTATTGCAATGCGGACAACAGATTTCCTGAGATCAAGTTCTTCCAGTGGAGCGGTACATTTGCACGAGATTGAAAAATAGAATCAGACTTTTGTTATCAGTGGATTGACTTTTCAACATTTCTGTTACCTAATAACAAAAATACTCTCAATGAACAGAAAATCAAAGTAAAGAAACGCTCACCTCTTCAACATGTGAACACAGATATTCGATCAGATGATTCGTAATCGCTGGTTCCAAGTCGAATGTTTTATTGACACCCTGGAAAAAGCAAATGTAAGTTAGTGTTTCTACGCCATGGCATTTATTCTTACTGTGTTCGTCGATGAATATTCAGATGTGGAGTTTCGATTGTTTAATCGCCGTTCGACATTGGAATAATGCAAACGAACGCGTTGAATTTCATCCGCAAATAGCAATGTACAGTTTTGAATATTCTGAAATCAAATAGACGGGTTGGAATTATGATGCTGATATCTTTCATTACACTTACTAAGTTATTTGTTGATTCGTGACATAGTGAGCAATGTTGCTCATTAATCTGCGACGAACAGGCGATTTGAAAGATAGTTGCAAGGATATCAAATGAACTATTCAAACATTTGTCCATCGGAAGGTCGAATAAGCAGTTTAAATTTTGTAAAAGAAACGGAATAAAATGTCCATAGAAAATATGAAGAAAATGTGCATATTGTTCAATTAATTCGCTTAAATAATTGTCACTATGAAGAAAATTAGTAAACAACGTCTCGATAAGATTGATCAGAACCGAATGTATGCATGACTTTGTTTCAAATAGTCGATAAGTTTCACTTTGATTATTCGTCATTAACAAATGTCCGGATTCACCAATTTCTTCATAGGTATGATTCAGCAGATGAAAATAATGCGTACGATCAATATCAACTGATGACGAGATTGCGATGGAATGAGATGGGATCGGCGATGCTGTCAAATAGCTAAATGTTTTCTCATGATCGGTTGAACAATATTGACAATCAAGTGGATTGCGATTAAGTGTTCGTTCTAAAGAGAAAACGGATAATCAGGAGTTGAGTTTTCAGAGCAAAACAATTGGGTATTGAAAGAAGGGATCCAACCTATCCTCCGCGTCGTCGTTATTTAATTCACTTACTTGATGAGATTGTTTGATTCGTATAACTGATCAATTTTGCTCGATCGGATAAAACTAACTTGAATTCATATCCATCGGTCATGATACCGTAGTGTTGTAACGTATTTAATTTTCTATAATGATTTATCTGTTCATTGGTATTGTCAATGTCATTTAATTGTAAAACGATCGAATCTCGATAGGATGAATCATTCGATGTCGTCGTTATTGTTGTGGAATACTTATTTTTCTGATTAGAGAAAAACTGTGTTAACAACGATTTCTTCGCTAATGGTACATTAGACGATGAAGTGCTTGACGACGAACATGAAGATGTTGAACAGGATTTTGTGTTCGTTAATAAATATAACTGACTATCACTGACTGAAAGAAGTTGAAATTTTCGATAGGAATTCAGTTGAGTCAATATCTTTTGTTTCACTTGAGAGATCGTGTCACACGAGAGACATGTGACATGTAGAACTAAGAAATCATTCGATTGATTGGGATAATCGATATGGACAATGAGTTGGATGGAATTGAAGATGATCGATTGATCGTGAAGAATCGTTTGATTATTCAACGAATAATACGAACACGTTTGTTCGAGCGCGTCGATTGGTCCCGAACAGATTTTATATTTCAATTGGTAATAAAGTTGAAAGATTAATGAAGTGATTTGATTGATCACAAGGCCATCATAGCCTGTAAGTATGCAGATGTTAAAAAAGAGATAATCGTTTTTGAATTGTAGAAATTTCTTCAGATGATATCGTTGTGTTAAGATCAGATCTGATAGAAACTTTTTATTCTTCGATTTAAGGATCAGTTTGTAGAAATATTCTAGTAATGCATCATTATTCTCGATTAACAGTTGAAATTGATTGATAGAATCATGTTTCAGATTCGCTTTCGGTGTATCGTACGAAATCACCGAGGAAACTGGGTCATTGAAATAACAAAAATAACATACTTGAAGGTAATTTATATACGAACGTAAAGGTACCGTGGGTATGACAGATGAATCAGGAACAATCGATTCCAGTATCGGTAATTTCTGATAGGATTTACGCAAGAGATCATCTCGATACGGTTCTTTTTCGTTTTTAAGGCCAGTGATTCCTGGACCGTAAAGATAACGTCGTCGAGATTTCCGTTGTGAACAACGTATTCGAATGCAGACAACAATCAGAATGATTAAGATGATCGCTAGCATTGTTAATAAACAACCGCTGATAATACCTAAATGAAAAAAATGAAGTCAATGAGTTAAGTATGAGGTAATGAATGGATTCCTACCGAGAATGACGATCTTTTTTGGATAGATCATGTATCCGACATGAGCGTGAATGTTATCAATCGTGACTATAATCCATGGATGTTCGGAATCGTAACAAAGTTGGTTTGTCTTCGAATATTTTGCTGGACGATATTCCGGCGGTTGACAAATGATTCGATCCGTTTGAAGGTAAACAATCGTGCACAAATCACATCCAATATGAACATTAACATTATCTTTCGTATGACCAATTGCTGTTAGATTTGCTCCGTGAATAATCAATTCATTGGTATATGTTTGCAAAATGGGTTCAAGTTCATAAATAATCGGATCGCTGATGTAAATCAGTGACGATGTTCGATTAAAATGGTCTAAATGAAGAATGATTTCGATTTCCTGCTGATAGTCACTTTCGTCGTTGAGATGTAATTCTTGAATCGATGGTGTCAAGAAAATCAAATGTGTCTTGTTGGAGAACAATGGCGAAACAAATATAATTCGTTTGAATTCTAAACGTATATTTTGTGCTGTGCGAAAATTCTCCCCTTCGATTACAAGTTGATGGCCACCACTGATGAAACTTTGGTACTGATGATAACTATCAAACGAACGAAGTATTGGATTCGGAACAATAGTAAAGAATCTCTCGGAATTGAGTTTTGTTTGTCGATCGAAGATAAGTCGTACTTCTTGTTGTTCGTTTAACATCAGCGAAGAAAACGAGCCTGTTTCACATTGAATTTTTGTACGAGATATCGACAGTAATTGACATGGACGTGTACCAATGTAAACAGCTATGTGACTATTTCCTAAAGTCAAGTTATCACCGACGATCGTCAAGAGTGTACCGCCGCTTTCTATCCCTACGAGTGGTTCAATGGATGTTATTGTTGGATTAATAAATGCAACGATTTGCCGAGATTCAATCTTTGGACCATGTTGACCAAACTTCAATTGAACCGAACCGGTGCGTGATATTCCACCTGCATCAGCAGATTGACAGACGATTTTCGTATCTGAACTTTCTTCTTCAATTAATTGACACGGAACATCCGCCAACTCGATTGTTAAGTTAAATAAATCAAAATGTCTGCCCTTTATTGTTACCAATGTTCCTCCGTTCATCGGCAATAACAACGGTTCAATATCTTCCATGACAGGCACTACACATTCTTGAACATGTTGACACGTCATTTGCTGTTGTGGTGTTTCAGTTTTGAACATGCACATGTTATTGCACCAGACACAGCCGAATGATGGATCCAATTGTAAACATGATGTGCAATTTAAACCCATTCGTTCGCAATTGTACATCACAAGATGTGAGCGTGGTATTGACATGAAAGTTCGATTGGTTAATTCAAGCGACAGATCAAGATTCAATGGTCGATGAAATGATATTTGGGGAAATGTGTCCGACGGTTTCATTTGAAATGCACATTGAACAAAACAGAGCTGATCTTCGTTCGCCGATCGGGTTACACTTGTGCTCACTGACGTAAATACAAAACGTTTTCGATAATCATTCAATCGACATGTTTCAATGTGGAATTGTTCAGGACATTGCTCAATATGTACAACTAAGGTCTTATCATCGTTCAGAGCAAGACGATTGATTGATTGTTGCAGATAAATCGCCGGACATTGACTCGAATTGTAGACAAACCGTTTTCGATGTAGAAGTAAAGATCTCTTCGTTTCGTTTGATATACAACTAACACTATGAAGATTCCATACACATTGATTCGAATACTTCGTGCAAGACGAACACGAGAATATATTCGAACAATTGACGAACAGTAATTTTGCATAGGCAAAAGATAAATTCGTTTTGACGTGATGTAACGAGAGAACTACATGGTAAACGGCTAGACACAAAAAAATCGAATGTTTAACCAAAGAATTCATCGTTTCTTACATTGATTCAGATTTGACAGAGTAGGTGGAAAGCATTTCAGCGTTTTCTCGTCTAGAAGAACGGCATTCGTGCTAACTATCAAACCTTTCTGTTCATCGATTTCAAACTGGCATTGATATTCATCCAGATTACTTTGTAATGGTATGTTCAAAACGATCTCCAACTACAATACTTCGATGAGAAAAGAAGAAAACGTCAAACAAAAAGAACTTCCTTACTTGAATATCGGATGCATGCAACGAAATCGTATCCGGAGAGACTCGTTCGATGCTCGTGCAAGTATTAATTTCACTATTCCTTTCATATCGATAATTTTTGTCAACGCATTCAAATGAAGATGCGCATCTAGAAGATTCAAACTTGACTTGCGCATTCATTATCAATCGAATGTTACCTTTTCTCTCGAGAACACCAATGACAACGGTCGATTTTCGAACATTGATCACATGTTGCATACTGTTCACAGGTACTTAATTTTTGTTTAATGACCTACATATGAAGAAACAAACACGTAAAGTTGATTGAAAACGCACATTTTGTTAACATGTATAATTAACTAAATTTAACAGAAGAAAATTGCATTCTTACCTGATTATTAGTCAACACGAGAAGATTAGCGTTTCGTACGGAGAGACTTTTATTAATGATTTTCAAATCAATTATTACTGACGATGGATAATTGTCCTTCTGAACTTGATTCTTATTCGATGTTTGAAACTACAAACAACATATTCTTAGGACAACGCGACGACTCAGCAAGAAAATCTTACTGTGTACACAGTTCCTTGATCGTCTCCAAGTAAAATCATGACGTCTTTTTCTAAAGGAACGATTTCGATCGCTGTCATATTAATTTTGTCATTAAATTCAATAATCGGCTGAATTTGTTCTAATGATCGATGACCACCAATTGGATATTGAGAAAAACTATCATCATTATCCGGACAGTAATCATGATTGATTTCATTTAGATTCTAATAGAGAAAAACAATATGTCTTTCGCGACAAATTGAATGTCTTACTTTATTCGATACACAACGGGTATCGGGACTAATAAAACCTAAGCCACGATAACCTTTACCATCGACGATGCAATGTTTTATAGTTTGAAAAAACGCTTCTCGGATGGAATCAATCGAGTAAGCACAAACAGCGTGTGCGGTATTTGATGAATTTGCTAATGTAGTATTACGAAAGATTCCATAAAAAGTCTCCGTTTCTTTCGAAAATTTTCCCGTGACTAAGTAAGGGTAATGATGGCCACAGGCGATGGGCATTTCGACATAGCTTTTGATAATCGATTGTTTAACGGGCTGACAGAAACGTAGAATTTTCGTTTGGACTTTCGCTGGTCGAGTGTGCGACACGTCTGACTGTTGAATCGTAAGAAAATACGAAATATTTCCATGTTCAAATCCGTAGATATACGAAAGGAAGAAATCTTTAATTAACCGTGTATTCAACAATCGTAGAGTGTAAGTCGATTGTTGTAATGCTGATTGACCTGAATTGAAGTTTATAATCGAAAGGAAATCATCGGTGAGCAATCGGCCACTGATCGTCGGAATTTCATAGAATGGATCACAAAGTGGATCGTAGGTATTCGCTAGATATAGAAATGGATTGTTCTCGCTAACAAAACCAATGGATGGATAGAATGGTGATGATGAGACAAGACGTTGAGAAGAATTTTTCAAAAGATCGAGATTTGTTAACGATCGTAATTGACACGAACCACCGCGATTCGTTGTCGAGCAGATTAATACTGTTTGATTGAATAACAAAAGTAATTGATTATAAGTGCCATTCAACGATGGTGAAAGGTAGGATATGGTGGGGAAGTAATAATTTACAGCGGAATGAGATGTTTTGTTCGTTAATAAACACTGATTATCATTTTCATGAGGTAAAAGATTGATTTGAGATAGAGTTGTTAAATCACTGGCATTCAATGAATAAATGTGATTGACTGAGGCTAATACGATTGTATTTGTTAGATCATCGTAAACGAAACGTTGTAATGGATTTGGAAAATCAACATGAATTGTACGAAGAAAATTGATTGAATCAAACAGGAGGAGTAGAATGATATGAATATTCATAATATGACATGGAAATGAATTAATCTAGAAAGAAGAAAAAGAGATTTCACTTCTTCGATGCAGATTCGATTATTCTATGTTACAAAAACGATCCGAGAAAGCGTGCGCGTGTGAAGAGATAGAAATCATCCAATTTACAGCTCGCTCGCGTTCTTCTAGTACGATGAACTTAACATTATTAGTCGTTATGAGAGAATAAGAAGAGAAGAAAGATTTTGAAAATAATTCAAGCATGCATAGGACATGCTCATCTCATGTTCATATATATATATGATCGATCAGGCAAAAGAAAGAGAGTGAAAGGATTGATGCACGTTTTCATTTTTTTTTTTCGTCGATAGATGTGATGCAATGGATATGGAAAGAATAATCTTGTCTTTTATAATTAAACAAATGTGTGAAATGAATACTGAAGGGAGAGGGAGAGAGAGAAAAAAAAGAACTAGATGAAATAAAGACTTGCTTCTTTTATAAAAGATCAAACATCGAACGAGAGATGAAGGTTATCGGATTTATTCATTTCTTATTCGTATTCATGGTTAAAATAATGAGCGGCACATAGAAACGATTAATGATGTTTCTTGACGGATCACTCGAGAAATGGAGGATAAGTTGTCTTTTCTTCTTATTGTTATCGTTTTGAAAACAAAAAATCAATTGAATTCATCGACAGTATCAACAGAAGAGGAAAAAAAGGTCAAGATTTAATTAGCAGAACGGTGCACATTCTTTTAGCGAACAAAGAAGAAAACCTCGCTTCGGTGTCGAGTAATACCAATTATCGAATTGGGATGTCTCGCCGCCGCACGTCATATATGTCATCAACGGTTAGTATCATCCTAACCGTTTATGTACGAGTACACATACGATTTCACTCATCACCCATTATCATCGTTGTCTGTGCATAGGTATGAAACAAATCGTGTTATCGTTTGTCTTTCTCTTGATGATCTGAATGTGTTACGCTGCAAAAAGAAGAATTCCAGGTGACTTGTTGAACAATGACTTCGTTCATGTGGAATGAAGATACTTTGCATATTAGAACAAAGGGAGAGAGAGAGTCATCATCTAACAGAGAATACAGCGTGTCCAATCGGCATAGAAAATCCGGAAAATCGACTCACAACCGGAACACGTCTCAATTACTTGTCGATGCACGAAAGAAACTAACTACAGTCAGAATAATAGCGAGACACAATACCTGGCAAGAGACAGGCGACAAAAGGAAATTCGACAATCTCCCGAGAGAGAACAGAACGACGGCAAGACAAAAGACGAACTGTATTGGATGTTCATCTCAATAGTTCGACATTAAATGTGAAGTGAAAATGTGGCAGGGAAAGAGAAAAAGTCTAATCGATTTCCGTCTCATATTGTTGTTCTTGCTGATGGACATTATATTTATTGGACCTTCGAATACAATGCTCGTTGCCGACATTGAACAAATTCAAACTAAACAAAGTCAACTATATATATATATATAGACATAGACACATCTCGCTGCATATACATATATTTATACAATGGCAACAACTGTTAAATCTCTCACCTCGTATTTTAATTACATCTAGACAAGAATAGATTTATCTAAATACGTCAAACTGTCGAAGAAGGTCGAAACAGGAAAAATTGATGAAGATGAACGTTTGCTCTGATGACTGTCTATGTATCAAATATCTATATGAAGATACTCAAGGCTCTTCCTTATTCTTTCATTCCATAACAAACTACCATCACCATTATCACCGTCATTATTAGAGATAAGCAGCCATGCAGTACTCCAAACAAATTGTTTTTTACTCTATTCAACTTCAACATACGTCAATCAACGTGTGATAGACAGAGAGTAAGAAACAAATGAATAAGCAAGAAAAGAAAGAAGATCGATTAGACATTTCAAACTGTGTGTATGAAATACGTATTATCAAAATCAAACTGTCTGACATGTTCACAACGAAGAAGTTAACTCCCTTGTGAAAATGTGTACACACACACACGGCTGATGATAGAAGCGTAAAGGATTAGACGACACATAACGCGACTTTAACAAGCAATTAGATTCGCTACAAAACATACATATACACATCTCAATTGGACATTGCATATATGTAAATACATTCCTCTTGTGGCACTGCATGTCTGTGACGCGACGCACATACGCATGCGAACATCACGCGACTAGAAATGATGGTCAACTCTTAGCACATTTCACATACTACTTATCTCTACGGCTCCGAGATCGTATTCTACAAGAAGAGAGAATGAGGAAAACTGGATTGTAAATTACGATCAGAAAAAGAACAAGCTACTCAGAAAAAAAAGGGTCATCATCGTTTACCATCATTGATTTGATTCGGAAATACTGACATCCGATTAGAGGAAAGAAGAAGAGAAAAATCAAACTGACCAACATCATTATAAGAGAGAAGATTGCATTATCAAACGAACATCGGCGACAACTCAATACAGACTCATAGAGCGTAATTGTGTTAGTTATTCTAATTCGACACTGTCTTTGTATATACATATATTGTATGAGTATGTGTGTGTGTGTCGATTTTGGCCGTGAACAATTTGATTTATTCATCATGTTGTCCGTCGGCTGTCTCAAGCATGAATGTGTACGTGCGTCGATCATTTTTATATCTCAAGCAACTTCTAATGTACAATCATAACAAATTAGATATTTCTTTATATAATTTTCAGCTTGAAAAAGAAAGACTAATGCACGGAGAGAAATCGTATCGTGCTTCTTTTATTGCTCAATAAATACAAAAAAAAAGAGATGAAAATATGCATATATATATAAATCTATCTATCTTTTGACTTCTCTCCACTAGTATAAACAATAATTACTTATGTAAACAGTGTGTACTACCGTTATCATCATCACCAGCAGTAACAGCGGCGGCATGACGCATTCGACTGCTTACAGCATATTCCATGTAAGATAGGAAAGAGAAATGCAACGATCTTGTCTCGTTTACATGAAACTGTAATGGAGTTGAAATGACAACGACAGCAACAGCTCTCCTTCATTAGTCTCATAGAAGACAATGATGTAATCACTTTATCTATAATTTTTTTTCTTGTTTTCTTTTGACTCAATCTAGATGAAATTGTATATGACATTGAATGAAACTATGCTCATCATATATGCATGTAAATATATGGTACGGTAGTCGAACAGATCTCATTCATTATATAATAACTCTTTTATTGCATGTATCCACATGTGCTTAACCAGTCGTCGATGTCGTCTCTGTATTTCGAATGCATTAATCTTTTGTGCTCTCCATACATATACAATGTATATTGACAATGAAAAAAGATAGATATACTTGAACTAAACACCATCGATACGAGCAATCGATCTTACGTTAAATCTCGTCAAGGACAATAGAATAGATAGAATATGAAACAAAAGTTTCAACTTACTTATTTACTTCTTTGTCATCATTGAGCAAGCTGAAGAGTATTGGCTATTATTAGGGTGGAGCAATGATAAATGGGCATGCTGTACTACTAGCATTCGTTGTAACGGACATAACAGAAATGTGATGCAAGATCCGAGACGCCACAGGCGAACAACTCGGAAAAAAAGAGAAGTAGTTATCTCCCACAGTCATCAGATCAATCGTCGACAATAGCCCAAATAGAGAGAGAGAGGCAAGACGAGAGAGTTGGAGAAGAAGAGAAAGAAGAGAAAAGATCAAGCTAATCTGAGACGTGCTGATGACTTACTTTCTCATAAACGATATAACAATATTCCTGTTAGAAGATGAGAAAAAGAATCGAAACTCACTGATACGCTTTGAAGATAATCAGGTATCCGACCTAACAAGAAGATGTAAAAAAAAGCCAATATAGATATTAGATTTTGTACACTCGACATCAAGGTTCATGTATTGGATGAGCGATGATATCTCTGAATTGAAAGAAAAATCTT